TGCCGAGCGATTGGAATCATATTGACAACTTGGTGGAATGAGTTGGCGTTGTTCTTCCAGGCGTGGGGAGAAGAGCAAGATTGAAGCTCGGCGATTCACGGTGATGTGACTTCGGATGGCTATCGTCGGGATGCCAAGACTAGCTCCCCGAGGTCGGACTCGGTTAATGCGGCGATTATATAGCCTGACTATTCTTCAAAGTAACGCATGCGACGGCGATGGAAAGATAGAAATATAAAAGGGGCTTAATCTATTTCTCTGTTATTCTTTAGTTTATCTACTATTAGGATAATTTCAATTACTAGCGTAATATAAATTGTCGGAACAATAGACACGTGATATTTTGTACGCCAGAAATACCTTTACATGCAGAAAACATTAAGAGCTATAACAATCATGAAGTCGACTTTCTCTTCTTCTTGCCGCCAGTCTTCGTTGCGGCGGGTTTGCTTGTGTCGCCATCCTCAAGAGCCTGAGCCTTGAGCTGCTGGAGCTTCTCTTTCCGCGCAGCCATGGACGCAGCCTCTTCCTCGTCCTCTGTTGCCTTGGTCTTCTTGGTCTTCTTCTCCTCCTCAAGCAGCTTGCCGTCTCCAGCGGACTTGCGTTTCTTAGAGTCCTTGATAGCTTCAGTTTCAGGGGCAGCTTCCAACACGTTAGCATCCTCCACCCACAACTCATCAGCGAGCCAAATAGGCAGGGCCATGGTGTTGGCGCCCTTGATGTGAAGACCCTTGATGTTTCTCCAGCCCTTTGCGACAAACTTCTCGGTCAGACCGTTGACAACAGCGGCAATATTCTCAGACAACTGCTCGGCGGTGAACTTGGACGAACCAACGCGGACGGAAGCGGTGGTGGATGGTGCGAGGTGCACGGAGGCGCAGTTCAGGGTACGCTCGATCTCCTTAGCGACAATGAGAGGAGGGGCGAAAGAGGCGTGCTTCTCTTCCTTGGAGGTGACGTTGGGGGTCTTGGGTTCCTTCTTGACCCGCTTGCCGTCCACCTTCTCGATCGCGGCGATACGGATGGGAATTGGGCGCTTGCTTGACTTGTAAAAGATCTTTCCGAGACTCTGCACCAGGCGCATGGCGATGCGGTCATCAGCGAGGAAAACATCGTGCTCGGCAAACAATTGGCGTCGGCTCTCGAAGCTCTGGTAGCGGGCCTTAAGTTTAGAGAAACCAATGACCTTCTCGATGCGGGAGGAAAGGCCCTGGGGGAAGGATGGGTCGGCAATGATATCTTTAACGCCACGCTGGGGGTCGGCAGTGATCAAACAGATGCTAAGCGAGGGAGATGTGTTGAGAGAGTGAGGGATGCTGATTTTGCCGGGCTTCAGGCGGTTCTTGTCCACCACATGCTGCTTGGTGGTGAGAACGAGCCAGACTGCTTCGCTCTTAGTCGCGCTGTCCTCATCATCGGAATCATCGTCGCCAATCAGGGTCTTCTTGGTGGCGGTCTTCTCCTGTTCCTGCTGGGTGGACTTGATGTGCTTCAGCAGCGCAGTGGAAGCTTTGATGGTCTAATTAAATAAGATAAGTACTTTGCGAAACTGGATCTTGGGGGTCATTGATACTAACCTGGGGCTTGTCAAGTTGGTAAGGGGAGCCGGAGGTCACCTTCGAGGTGAGTTGAGTAGTAGAGGAGCCCATTTTAGCAAGTTGTACACTCGATGAACATCTCCAATTTTTTTGCAATCATATCGGGACTCAAAAAAAATTTGGAAGGCGGTGGCAGTTCATCCGTTCTTGGCAGTCCAGACCCCAGTTGATGCCTAAGGCATACATCGCACCGCTCTTATCAAGCAGGGGTAAGTAACTACTATGTACTCCGTATGTATTTACATATGCTTTTCAAATAAGAAGTCTGGCGATTCACTCGGGGCAATAAGCTCACAAGCCTCGTAGAAAATTTCCACGTCTAAGATGCCAAACCAAAAAAAATAAACTTGCTCTCGCAGTGGAGCGATACCGTAACCCCCTACAACATACAGAGTACAGTGGATTTTACGCCCAAAACAGAAATGAACTGGAGTCCGCCAATATACCATCTGCCGGCTCGAGCTCATTATCCACTGAATTTTATTTGGATGATAAAGGTATGGCATATGCCAATTCGCAGCATCTACAACACGGACCCAGGTACCCTAAGAACTCACGCGTGATTTTCAGATCAGACCTTACTACGGAGTATAACGACATCCGTACTCCTTGCGGAGGGCGGATTGAATCATCTATGGAACTAATGGCGAGGTAGTGGTAACGACATGTGAAATCAGATAGCGCGGCTTATACATCATATGGGTACGGCTAAAAATCTAGATCAGTGGTAGAAAAAAAGACCCTCCAGCCACAGCTCACATATGTACAGAGGTCATGGGATCCTATGGAGTAGTTACCCTGTGTACCGTGCCTCTAGGGCTGAATGTTTGGTTCCATTTTAGGGCTTTTATTGTATCCAAGGGTAACTCGGAGGCGGCTGATGAACGTGTGATGGATTACGGGATACTATGCGGCTGGGATAAGCTCTAGAGTCACGGCGATTTTAGGCTGTTTCACATTATCTAAAAATATGCACTATGGAATACTCCCTCCCTTCTCCAGAAAAAGGAATCAAAAATTGATCGCCACCTTAGTTAGTTAGTTATAGAGTGCCAAGTCCATCGCGGCTTAGGTAACTACTATTTATAGACACAAACGGGTTGGATCTCTGTGTATGTACTCCGTACTCCGTACTCCGTAGCTCGAAGCATTGTTGTAATATATGTTGATAGGTATCATGAACCATTTCCATATAACATGCCCCATTTAAACTAGCTAGGTCTTTTCGATTTTGTTTTAATACATCGTATATTGTGAAACCAGGCTTCGGCATTGACCGAAGAATGCGAGATTACCGAGGACTATGATGTACATTGTATGTTCTTCAGCCCATATTGAGACAAGCCATAGAACTAATGTAACCGATAGCTAATAGGTGCCAACAATGATATCCCGTCTATTACTTTGTACAGATGTGCGAATTTTGCAAGTAAGCCGCAATTAAATGAGAAATGGAACCTAGACGAAAATTAAATTAATTCACATGAAACGAACAGCGGTCCCCGAGGCCGAACTGTGGGCAGTCTCCGGTTTTAATATTAAAAAAAAGGCTTGAACGTTAGCAGAACGGAGTATGATATATATCAAAGTATGGAGTCATATAATATTCCTTGTACGGAGAATATTATGCATAAATAGGGAGCCACACAAGCACCCATATATAAATGTATTTGAGTAATACCTAAATGTGGTTTGAAGCAGAGAAAAAGGAGTTGGTTGGACAGATGTTACAATTGTTGCAGGCACCAGTTAAAACAAAGTTGAAAGGATCGGAATGATCGGATGACTGTGGAGCTGAATATTCGTACCCGAAAAGGCAGGTTCGATGCCTTGTTGGCTTTTTTTACTTAGTTATATATGTATGAGTACGGAGTAGTGCACGTCAAGACAAAAGCATGCCCTAATATAAGATTCCTCGGTCGAGTTTCGTTATTGTAAGGAGAAAGAGAACGTGGTACCGATATCCAATTTTTCCGAGGTTATTGATACGATAATACATTTGTATTTTTTTTTTTGTATAGTGGGACCTCCGAAATATTGGGCCAAACTAAAGTACCGATATAGACCGCCTCTGCATACCGCCTGTCTATTAAATATACTGCCAACCTCTACGGGGTACCATGCCAAGTATATACCGCGTCCCCTCCGCGTTTTCGCTCGTTCCTCTATTAATTCCTCTTTATTTAAATGCCAGTTATACCTCACATTACAATTCTACCTCGCCGGAGCCGGCGGCGTCCTAAATTAGTTTATTTAATATATGGGGGGTTTAAGCCGGCAGAATATAAAAAGGCGGTATATGCGGGTACATTAGTTTGGCCCAATATTTCGGAGGTCCCACTGTAATTCTGTGCTAGAGCGTGCTATGACGCGGACAAGGCCGTGCCGTCCACAGTAGGATTAAGATTGCTGTGGATCGACAAGTCCGTCGCCTTCTAGCTCGCCTATCATTATTCCACTGGACAAATTATCGAAAAAGTGGGTGGGCGGAGCAACTCCCGGCTGCTAGAGAGAGAGGAATATGGAGACCATGGAGAAGTGCGTGGATTTACAAATTTAAAGCGCGGAGTCGTCGTCACTACGGAGTACAGGGTGTGAAGTTTGTATAGCTCAAAGCCTATGTGTACCTAGAGAGGACTCTACTCTCCGTATCTTCTGACTAGGCGCATTCGTAAACCACCTATGTTGTGGGCTGATATTTAATTTTAGCGACCGCGTGAGCAGGTCAGATTCTGGTATATGAACTTGGTATTGGCAGACTGGAATTTGAGTACGGAGTACGGAGTACGGAGCACGGAGTAGTTAAAGAATACGAACCGGGACTAGGAACCAGGCGCTAGTACCATCAGGGGAACCCTCCTTGCCGGCTACACTGCACTGTAAGTCTTGGAAAATCTGGGCGGGGACGGAGTAGATCAGTCAGTTCAGGGTTGTCAGGGGTTCTACTTAAGTAGGATTATTACCCCTTTGTCATATGCCGAATGTCAAGAGTTGATAGCCGGGTTATAACATATAAAGATTGTAAGTATAAAGACTATAAGGGGGAAGTAACTTCAATAGCGTACTCTTATAAATTGCAACTGAAAGAATCACCCATATTGAATTCCCCTGGTACCCATGGATACGCAAGGAATTTTGACAGACCGTAAATACTGATTGGTGTACCTGAATTCTGGGGGCCCAAAGATGCGCAATCCTTACCTCTCATTGGCTCCCCTGACAGTTTTTAATCTTGTTTTAACGCCAAGCAGGAAAAAGTAAACAAAAAGAAAAGAAGAAAAAAAGAACTACCTCAACCCATGGATGTATAGTTATAAAAACTGAACTGGGGAATAAAGAAGTGAATAGTATAGAGTATGGAAACTATTGAGGAAAAAAAATATATGCCAAGCAAGTAAATAGCATCCAGACTCTTTCCAGGGTCCACTACCAAGACAAAAGGTAGGCAGTGTAAGACTTGTATGTCGAAGTATTATTATTATTCCCGTACCTGCCCCTTTTCCCGTGACTATCACACTAACGCCATTAGGACATTGACCGACTCGCCCCCCCTCCTTTTTGTCTCTCCCTGACTTCTTCTTCCCCAGTCTTTGAAATAGCAGCTCTCCTTTCTCGAAGTTTTCCCACACCCGAGGGACTCGTTCTCTCCACATTCATTTGAAAACCGCTGTCTTTTCCTCCATTGTCTACGAAAAACGCGCGACTACCCTTGATGTAGGTGCTATTTCCTATTTATCCCTACATGTTGCAATATCAGGACGCGATGTGGTGTGGTGTGGAGTATTGGGTGTTGTCAGGGAACTGTACAGACGATTGTGCAACACAACACGCGCAATATATGGTTGCAGGGACTCGATCGCATGCAAGCTACTCTACACGATGGAGCACCATTGGATGAAAAGAATTATACACGGATTTGATGCAACTAACACATCATAGTCAGCAGATTCGCACCACTACAATGAAGTTCCAGAACACCGTTGCCGTCCTGGCGACAGCTGGCCTCGCCGCCGCCCATGGCCATGGTCATGCTCACGCCCACAAGCGCGCTACTGAGACTGAGACCGTTTCAGTTCCCGGCCCAGTTGTGTATGATTTCGTTGTAATGGACCCGTCTAAGGCCGATGGTCCCCAGGCCATCACCATCGAGGAAGCCTGCGAGGGTCTCGCAAGCCATCAGCTTGAGTGGCTGGACGCCGCCGTTGCCGCTGCTTGCCCATCTAGCAGCAGCAGCAGCAGCAGCACGACCACTGTCAAACCTACCTCGAGTTCCACGACCACGTCCGTCCCAACATCGACCGCTACCGTTGCCCCTGCCATCCTCCAAGAGACCTCAGCTATTATCATCCCAGCCAGCTCGACAAGCACAGTCGTGCCCAGCTCTAGCACCACCACCACAGCTGCCGCTCCTACCAAGACCGCTTCTTCAAGCTCCAGCGGCTCCGGTGCCACCGGCCTCACTGCCGACTTCCCTGATGGTGAGATCGACTGTGGTGACTTCCCTTCGCAATACGGTGCTCTCCCTCTTGATTACCTTGGTCTTGGTGGTTACTCCGGTATCCAGTACGTCACTATATTCGATGATCTGGTCAGTGATATTGTGACCGCTGTTACTGGCGATGAGTGCCACCACGGTGCCATGTGCTCGTACGCTTGCCCACCTGGATACCAAAAGTCCCAGTGGCCCACCACCCAGGGTGCTACCGGCCAGTCCGTCGGTGGTCTCCAATGCAAGCTTGACAACAAGCTCTACCTCACCAACAAGAACTACAAGCAGCTTTGCATTCCTGGCGTTGGCGGTGTCCACGTCAAGAATCAGATGTCACACGACGTTGCCGTTTGCCGTACTGATTACCCCGGTACCGAGTCTGAGACCGTTCCTCTAGCCGCCACTCCCGGTGCTATTCACGATCTGACTTGCCCCGATGGTGACAACTACTTCTTCTGGGAGGGTAAGGTCACCTCCGCCCAGTACTACGTTAACCCCAAGGGCGTGTCCACTGAGAAGGGTTGCCAGTGGGGTGATGGCAGCGAGCCCATCGGTAACTGGGCTCCCATCAACCTTGGTGTCGGTTATACCAAGTCTGGAAAGTTCCTGTCTATCTTCCCTAACACCCCGACCACCAACGAGCTTCTCGACTTCAATGTTAAGCTTGAGGGTGACAACCTCAGCGATGAGTGCCGTTACGAGAATGGCAAGTTCTACGACTCTAAAGGTCCCATCAGCGGCAACAGCGGTTGCACGGTAAGTCTTTTGTCCTCAAGCCTCCCAGTTGTCGAATTTTTATACTAACAATACCTCTCCCCAGGTTGGTGTCACTTCCGGCAAGGCCTACTACGTCTTCTACGACTAAATGTCGCAACCACTTTTTGGTCGGCGGCAGCCCTCAGACTGCCAAGCGAAACTCGATGAGTCTTCCATGTTCGAATTACACTAGGGCGAGTAGAGCTACCGCTCTTATCTCGCTTCCCTATGTGCATCTGTCTATATTCACGGTTTCTTATTCGAAGGATCATTATTCATTTCTGTGTATCTTAAGTTCTATTTTGTTTTTATGTGTGACTGGGCTCGAAATCCAAACCTCGTTGCATGCTTTTGTTTTATTTCTTATGACCACATCTTACCCCCTGGTCAGACACATTGATGGGAGCGATATTTTTTTTATTTGATGGCTAGATTTACTTTCTTTATCTTCAAGTGCCAATCAGTTCTTGATTTCAAATCTATCCCTCGTTCCCTCCCCTTTCATTTTTGTCCTGGTGACTGAAGCTCGATTCTCCCTACCCCTGATGCTTTTCTTTGGATTCTTGGTGACCTGATTCATCCTATACTTCGCTTGAGGTGAAAATTTTGAGCTTATGGGTTGATTCAATGGGGGAATCGCGGCACACAGCTGGTTCTGTAACAGTCGGTCATCGGCTAGCCGCTCTTGACTTCTTGGCCTTGCATCCAACAGGGGGGTGATCTAGTCCAGCAGATATGCACTATCTGTTTTTTATTTTATTTGTATCTTTTTTTGTCAGCAATCTTCTTAATCCTTCGAATGATATTCCACGGCGTTCTTCTATAATTTCTCCCCCATGATCAAGTAGGCGCTAGATACTATTCCAATAGTAGTCAATGCAGGGGCCTTCTGTAAAGACACATGTCGTATAACGTGCAAGCCAGCAATGTGTGACATGTACCAACCTACATGTATGTGTCGTTGTATTTGAGCTACCTACAGTTCCCCACAACGTGAGGGACCAGCTATTTATTAGTGTGGCGGCAAGCGCTTGGAGCATGTGACACGTCGCGTACATGATGAAACGCCAGATGACCCCACTCAGTAGCTATAGCTTTAGGTAGCATGCGTAGTTCCGTCATTGCTTCTATACCTATTGTCAACAGATACAATCTCATCTAATCACACCTAAATTGCAGCCTGCTCGAAAGAAATGTGCCTGGGTAATATGAAATTTTTTGATTCACCCTAATCACGTGTCGATATGTATAAGAGCGAAGCCCTAATATATCGTGATAACTAAGGATGGAGGCGTCTTTGTAGACCAACAGCTTTGAGGTCAAAGCCCCGGTTTGACACTCTATAGAAACATCAATATACATGATTGGTCTAAGAGCCTACTTATTTGACAATATGTTTGAAATCGTTGTCCTTCATGCAAACAAGCCTCACTTTGTGCCACACAGACGACAACCAACAACACATGCTGCGCCCGACCGCTTTTCACCCCTCTGTCTTGATTTGCGACCGGGAGATATCAAATGTCAAGAATTTGTCTTTTCTAACCCATGCTTTTCTTGCGAGTTTCAACCCAAACCCCTTCAAACCCCTTACAGGACATCTACACCCACCAGGTCGGCTGTGCGCTTGATAATGGGATGCAGCGCGCCCAAGTGACGATGCCTTCAGCCAAATTCTTCAGAGAAGTCTCAAGGCATAGTCTTCCTATTTGAATACAGCGAAAGAAAGTCACTCACTCTCCCGGCAAGTCATAGACCTAAGCCCTCCCATCAGCCACACCAATTTTGTTTGCCTGGGAAACATTACCGTCAACGCAGTTCAATAATACCCTTCTTATCGATCCCTGATTAATCTTCAAGAACTCGAAAGAGAACTTTGCGTTAGATCCTAGGGTGCTACCAAAACAACCAATACAAATTGGGAGTCGGTAGTCTATTGAGTGTGATACTGCCAGGAGACTCCCTTTTATCAGAGTGGCATGGGGCTTAGGGACTATCGGGTTACGCCAAGAGGAATTACCTGTCAGTCTTTTGCTCCGTACTTTGCATTGGTCTATATATTACCGACGTACCAGGTGGAGTTGCCCAGTCGCTTTGTCGAGTGCCACTTTCAACGGTCATGTCTTTTTTTCGCCATGCTCGGTATCGGAAAAGGACAGGGATTTATATATCTTCAAATTTTTCTTCCAGGAGCTAAGTCAGAAACACAGTGACTGGTAGCCGCACTCGAATGTCCTGTACTCCATCGCCTTTACGCTGAGTCCTCGGTCGGCCTTACTAGATGGTTCTATATCCAATTTATATCAGATGGAACAACACCCTGCCTCCCGCTACCAACGCAAGCGTCACAGGTAGGGCTAATAAGGAGGACTACGGTATTTAAATTTTGAGTTTGATAGGGTGTCGTGTCAACTAAAGTCCCATATACCAGGATTCATGATTCGATTTGGGAGACTTTGAAGGAGAAGAAGCGGGGTCGGATGTGGAACGGCATTGGAGTCCAAAGAAACAGTATGTTAGAAGCTGGCTTGAGGTAGGGTCTTGTTGTCACTAGCAAGGCAAGAAAGAGTGAGTAGGAATGAAATAGCTGATAAGAATATACAGCAGGTCCAGGAAAGGAATCATTATTGACGATTCCTGCAGCTCGGGGAGGGAAGGGGGCCAATATGTACATGCTTCAATCTTATAAGCAAAAATACACTATAGAGCTTTAGTAGGAAACCACTATTGCTTAATTACGTCGTTTTTTTGTATTACCTCTTGTTATGGCTTAATATAATTTCCAAAATGTGCCGTTATATATAACGGACAAGACCACATGCGTTACACTCATATATCAGGCAAGGGGACTTTGCGAGAGGTATAACTTTACAGCTGATATGAGATTTCAAGGTCATTCAGATAAATTACCTAAGAACATTCTTTGCTATTGGAGATTCTCAGCCCTAGAGAAGACCGGTGAGTTGAACTATACCAAAAAACATACCAAAAAACCAAACTACCCGAGGCCCCACTAGCACTTATCAACAAAAACCAAGTGCAAAAACTAGGGCGTTTTGTTGTTGTTTTTTTGCTTCTTCATAATTGATCAGGAATTTAGCGTATATGCCCTGGGAGAGAAAACCTTATGATTTATCAAAGACTTGAATGGTGTCAAGGTCGTCGGGCAAATGGCTGGGAGACGCGACAAGGTGACCGGTGATCAATTTCGTGAGATTTCGTAACAGTAAGTGGGGGGTTTAGGGTGGTAGGGGGCTTGCATTTTCTGCTGGGAATTTATTGTATACCCTAGTACTACATATAGTAATTCGTACTTCTTACCCCTAGTACTAGTTATGTACGAGTTTGGGAAATCTACCTAAATTTCACCATCGGCTTCTAAGACTTAAATAGGCTGGCAATTTAGGATGGAAGATATCTTGCACTCCTTTTTTTGAAACCATCCTAGGGGCTACAGTCTAAATAAGAACAATTTTGAAGACATGGATACCATTCCTGACACATCCTTAAACCCGGTTTACTGTCTCGCGTGGGGTCACGTGCTTTGAGACGCGGACGCGCCGCAGTGTATAGAGTTGACAGCATGAATTAAGAGGAAACAAACCTCCAATTCGCGCCTTTTCATGTTTTTGTCTCTCGATTTATACGTCACTATTTGTACAATACCTAGAGGTAGCAATTGAAATCGCGAACCTGCAGTGGAGTGTGGTTGGCGTCTATCGAACGCGTCTCGGGCTGTAAGCGTGCATTTCCGCGCAGGGTGGACAAGACGCCTCCGCCCCAGGGCATTCCACCACCACACACCTTTTGACCTTTTTCTTCAATGCTTCTCCTCCTTACTCCTTGACCAATTTCTTTCATCCCACCACACCCTTTTCTCTAGGGGAGGCCTTGACTTCTTTCTCTTCTCCAAATTCTCTAGCTTCTTCTCTGTGTTCCTATAACACGCGGAGACGCGGGTCCTCGACCTCGACTCAGGTTTTTTTTTTCTTTCGTGAGTAGGAGTGCTCGTTCGACTTCGTCCCATCTTTTGTTTTTACTATGGAGTCCTCTCCGTTGAAGAGCCGAGTTGGCTCGATCTTGGGCGTGAAGCGTCCTGCAGCCCTACTGCCTGCCTTTGAGCCGAGCTCGTCGCCCTCCCTTCCTCGGCCTCAAAAGCGTGTAGCACGCGAACCAGATGTCTCCACGTATCCCACCCCGGTCCCGACCTCGTCGACCCATATCATGTCCTCTTCGCCCCCTCCTGGCGTCGCTACCTCTCGCCCCTCCCTGACTCGGTCCTTTTCTGCCGCCCTCGAACGCGCGCCCTTGTCAGCCGTGCCCGCGATAATGTTGTCGGAGAGTGGGGAGTCTATTCTGATGGGCAGATCCAGTGTCTCATGTCATCACCAGCTTGCTGCTAGCCGCATGATATCTCGGGTTCACGTCAAGGCTACATATAAGCCTGCTCCAAACCCGTTCGATCGGGATAGGGTTGAAATCGTGTGCATGGGGTGGAATGGGATAAAGATTCACTGCCAAGGGAGGAAATATGACTTGGCCAAAGGCAAGACCTTTACCTCGGACATCAAAGATGCAGATATCATGATAGATGTTCATGAGGCTCGTGTTCTGGTTCAATGGCCTCGCAGCGAACGAAGGGATTGCCCTTCTACAGACTCGGAACAGACCAGTGACGAAGCAACACCAACCCAGCGACGCCAATCCCGACGAGAGCTGCAGGAGAGCCCGCTTATGGATCGTCAGCGTCTGGCATCACCTGTCTCCCCTTCGCCTGCTGTTCAGCATGACATCCCCCCATCTTCGCCAATTTTCACACCTTCTCGTTCTCGTGCTGCAGTAGTGGTGTTTGAGGATGAGCCCTTTCCATTGAAGCGCCACAACACTGTCACTGGGGTGACCTCCCAGAGTGCTCGTCGTGCTACTGCTATGCTTCACACCTCGCGAGCGAGCGAGTTGAGTGACCTGAATAGATCTGAGGAGTTCTCCGACAATGACGAAGAGAATGATCCTATCATCCACTCGTTTGGACCATTCGGAGAGAACCTTCTTCCTCGTATGGCTTCTTTCACTGCGGGTGATTCCCCCGTTCACCCTGCTCGTTCTCCTCGCAGCCTGCTGCCCGCCCAACCCCTCCAACCTACCCGGTCTCCTAATCAGCCAACCACCGTCCACGAGGACAGGGAATCCGAGACTCCCGAGGCCAAGCCCCAGTATACCGATGAACGGTCTGAGAGAGTCCGCAACCATGCTGCTAATCAACTCGCCTTCTCCCGGCTGTCCTCCACACCCTTCTCCACCATATTGAACAACCTCCCTCCCGCGTACTGGAAGTCCGGTCACGAGTACGTCACCAGTCTTGCCAGGTCTGATATCCGCAACATTCTCGAATCGACCAAGTTTATTGGCAGAGTTGCCCGTGAAGGCAAGGATGCAGCTGGCAAGCCACTTGAGAGTGAATATTACTACATTCCTGATGAGGATGACGATGCGATGCGCCGGTCTGCTGTTGTGGACGATCTTCGGAAGCCTGGCCTGCGCAACTGTCGGAAGCAGCACAAGGTTAGTACCTCCTCTATGTCCCCTATACATCCATTGATGTACCTGAACCCAACTAACTTGTTTCCAGCAATACTTCTGGCGTAAGCCCAAATGAATCATTGATCGAATAAGTTCCTATGTCTTTCTGCCGTCTGATTGACTTTCTCAGTACATATTTCCAGTGATTCTTTGTCTCCCTGGCTGTTAGGGAGGCTCGCATAGCGTGGCGTGAGGCATACCCTGTTTTTAATTTCTTTCCGTCAACATCCTTTTTTTTTTTTTTTTTTTTGCTTTGTTCCTCGGTGGTATCATTTTCTCGTTGCAACATCAATGTGTATGATACCTTGGTCTCCAAAAAGCACATGTATATCGTTTTGGTGGGACCTTGGGTATTCCAAAGTTGGTTTCCAACGCGTCATGTTTCCTTCGGCCATCGTTGGCCGTTTTGTTTGCCCTAGATATCAGTTATTCTGATACCAGCTCTCATGTGTTGCAGGTGTCTCTTCAAAGAGACACTTCGCCAGTTTGACACTCAGTGTTTCCCGACACTCTTAAAGTCACGCGCCCTCCGCGGACTACTTGTATCCTACTTCTGCTTTTGCCTCGTTGGTTTTGCTATTTTGTCAGGATGCTTTCCAATGGTTGAACGCACTCACGACTTGTATGTTAGCTCATCAATTTCAATATACCAGTTTGAAGAATTTGTTACCTTTGTATTATATTGGATGCAATGGTGTAGTACCTGTATAGTTTTGGTATGTTTTGTTAGCAGAAATAAAACTGGATACCATACTCCAGCCAGGCTATATAGTATAGTGAAGTCATTTAGTCACAAAGCATTAGACTCGCCTGGATCAAGGTGATACAGCAGATGCTCGCTACAGGGTTTGTGCCATTACTGTCTTAATATCACGTTCATGTACAAACACAACCCTTGAGAAATTCTACAATGCTAGACATATTATCATTGTGTTAGATGAAATTGCCCGTATCTTTACTACTTTGTGTATCAATTGTTCCACTCCTAGGATGGCTTGATGTCTTCGCCACCCACACGTCATATCTACCTCCTCCGCCTAGATGGAGATAAATACTTACCCATGCCTTGTGAGAGGTTCTTTCCACATGTATCATATCTGTAAAATCGACTAGGGTCAATTTCACTCATTGCCACACCGCACATCTAGAGTTTGAATACCCCGCACCAAAGAGGTATAAAAGGACGAGCGATGAGCTGCGAACGCAACATGGAACCGATATCTTTTTCTATCATAGTATTATCATAAGCCAGCTCCAAGCCAGTGGCTAGAAGAATACTACGCGCCAATATCGATCTTATTCTTATCCACCTATATCACTCAAAATGGCATCAAACAACAAAAATGATAATTACGGTCAATTTCCGAATACTGGCAAAGAACACACTGTCATTCTCCCATTCAATCAGAACACCAATCCTTCAACCAATACAGCCAGGCCATCCGGTCCCTACCGAGATAACACATCTACGGAGAAGTCGTGGAAGCCAAGTTTTGATCGCCAACATAGCTGGAGTACCCAGGACCACAAGCATCAGCTGCAAGAACGACTGCATGGGTCGGAAAAGGGAAAGGAGATGGGGTTCACAGAGGCACATAGTGGGGATTAGAATGCTTCGAAATAGTATTTAGTGCTGCGATGATCGTCTTTTGGTGCATGGGTAACTCATGGTGGGACCATACGAAGTGGGGATGTTTGGGGACAATGAATGATGGGATTTTTTTTAAATTGAGCATCACAAAAGGGTTGAAATGAAATTGAAAGAATAGCATTGAGAAAGTGTTAAGATGAAAATAACAAAATGAAGTACAACAAGAATAGTCTGCAGCTCATGCGGCCTCTTATGTGCTTGACGACGTGCGTATATTTGAAACGTTTTGTGTAAGAACATCCCAATGTGCTTCTGGATGTTATTTTTAGACGTATTTCTAAACGTCTTTTTTAGATATATACAAAAGCGCCAAAAAAATATAAAACAGTGCAGATGACCTTTTCTATGTATAACCTTTGAAGTGAAGTGAAGTTATCGCACAAGTCCGGTGGATAAATGGATAAGCAAATAAAAGTCCGCCTTCCACCTCCGCTCCGCCTTGGACCTTTGGACCTTTGGACCTGCACTCTGAGCTTCTCTTCACTTCAAAGCTTTGAGCTTTGACCTGTTCTCTTCTCTTTTCTTTTCCCCCAATGTGGCATTCAAGTCACTTATGCGCTTTCCTCTCGGACATTCAGAAAGGACCCCACGATTGAGCCTGTGTGACACACAGCCATGGATCGCCAACGTAAAAGTACGGTCTATCGCACCTCACCCTGGAGATTTTGACTAACATCTGGCTTTTCTATTGCAGGGGAGCTTCGCGACCTGAACGAGCGAGTCTGGACAGGCGAATCTGGTGAGATCTTATCTAACTCCCTTTATGACGAAATGCCATTGCAGCCCACTTTCAGGGTGGTTCTAACAACTTGCAAGATTTATTCTCCACTAGCAAGTCCCTTGACTCAGCGCTCAAGAAGAACACTGCCTTCATCAAACGTCTACGCACCGGCATTAGTGCCTCCGCCCTTTCCACGTTTCTCGCTGACATCCGCACCCTCTCGCTCCACAAGTACCTTTCCGAGATCATTTCCGCCTGTTACGAAGGCCTCTGCAAGCTAAAATCCCCCGGAGAAATTGCCGCTGGAGTAGAGGTCGTGAGTGCGCTGCACCAGCGTTTCGGGCCCTGGGAATTCACTCGGCAAATCGGCTGGCTGCTCGGCCGCGGACTGAGCACACCGGATAAAGCGCAGCTCAAGGCGCTTAGCCAGGAGATCCGCGAACGCGAAGAGAAAGATCGTCTGTCTCGGCATCGCGTTCTTCTCCGCGTTGTTACGGAGCTTTGGCTGGTCAATGTGCTGAAGACCCTCGATGACGTCGAGCGGCCCGAGGAACTGGGTGCGAAGGGCAAAGAGGGTGCAGTTGGCATTGGGAGCAAGCCGTCCGATGCGCCGTTGAAAGCCAAGACTCCCGCTGCGGGCGCGAAGGACCAGGACAAACAGGCTGACCCGTTCCCATTGGAGGTTCTGAAAGAATTGCTCGGTCATGACCGTGATCATACGAACCTGCCCCTTGCAGTCTTGTTTGTGAAAAGTTTCAGCTGGGATATCGTCGGCTCGAAACTTGCCGAAGATGGTAGGAAAACCGTTGAGGCGGATGGCGCTACTACTACTTCTGGCATGGACGCGCAGACTATGGAAACTAATGGGGATGTCCACTCGGAGACCGATTTGCCCCTGACCCCAGAGAAAATTCAGCAGCGGTTTAGAAATATCCTGAACCGGTATCTTGAGGATGTCAAAGCCCACGTGGTTCGAGACCAGAGAGCGCTCGCACAACAAAACCGCCGTAATGCCGAGGCATACGTGAAGAGTGGTGAAATCTTCGAGGACCGCCAGGCTAATTTCGAGAAGCAGTCCAAGATCCTGGAGAAGCTTGTGGCCAATACCCAGGTGCTGTGCGAGGCTTTGGGAACCGATATGCCCGATCTAGCCGAGAAGGAACCCACCGATGCTTCTGCCAGTGGTGGCATTGGCCTTGTGAAGACCACTGACTACCTACGAGGCCAAGGCGAAGGTGCTGGGATTTGGGAAGACGAAGAAGAGAGACGCTTCTATGAGAATCTGGTCGATTTGAAGGGCAAGGTGCCTGCAGTCTTGCTCGAGGACGGCAAAAAGAAGAAGACCGAAGGCGAGGAGTCTGGTAAAAAGAAGCCAGATGGTGAAACTGCCGACTCTGCCGAGCCTTCGGACGAGAAGTCTGCCGCAGAGGCGGATGACCAGTCGACTGCCATTGCTAGCAAGACTGTGGGTGCGCAGGTAGACTCCCTTCTTGCCAAGCTCCCTGAGTTACAGACCAAAGATCAAGTCGACCAGTTTGCCCTCGATTTCTGCTGGGTCAACTCTAAAGCATCACGAAACAGACTAGTCAAAGCGGTATCGGACATCCCCAAGGGTCGTATTGATCTTTTGCCTCTGTATTCTCGTTTGGTGGCAACGCTTGGACAGTACCTGCCAGATATTCCACAGGGACTGACCACATACCTCGACGAAGAGTTCCGAAGTCTGCAGCGGCGTAAGTCTAAGGAATTCCTCGGTCAGGTACGCATGAGCAATGTTCGCTACCTAGCTGAACTGACCAAGTTTGGTGTCGTTCCGGAGCATATCATCTTCCATTGCTTCAAGGTTTCCCTCGACGAATTTTCGCGCATGAACATCGAAATTATCGGCCATTTGCTGGAGAACTGCGGCCGTTACCTTCTGCGCAACCCCGAATCATCACCTCGGATGGCTTCTTTCCTCGAGACCTTGAGTCGCAAGAAGACCGTGCAGCATCTGGCCCAGCAGGAGCGGATGGTTATCGAAAATGCCATCTACTATGTTGACCCGCCACCACGACCAGCGATCCAGCAGAAGGAACGTACGCCTATGGAGCTGTACATCCGCCGGCTAATTTACCTGGATATGAACAAGCGGAATTACACCAAGATCTTGAAATCCATCCGCAAACTTCACTGGGAGGAGCGAGAGGTCGTCGAGATTCTGGAACGTGTGTTCAGCAAACCAGTCAAGGTGAAATATGGCAGCATTCATCTTCTGGCAATTCTTGTGAGTGCTCTGTACCGGTACCACCAAGATTTCGTGATTGGTATCGTCGACAACGTCCTGGAGCAGGTTACGCTTGGCCTCGAGCAGAATGACTTCAAGTTTAACCAGAAGCGTATTGCGGAAATCAAATATCTAGGTGAGCTCTACAACTACAAGATGATCGATTCCCCGGTGATCTTCGATACTTTGTACCGCATTATCACATTTGGCCATGAAGGTGGTACCCCGGCCCCTGGAAAAATTAGTATGCTGGACTTGCCAGACGACTACTTCCGCTTGCGCTTGGCATGCACTCTTCTAGATACATGTGGTCACTGTTTCGATCGTGGATCTGCAAAGAAGAAACTGGACTTTTTCCTTGCCTTCTTCCAGTACTACTTATTTACCAAGGATCCGTTGCCCATGGATGTCGATTTCCTTGTCCAGGACACATATCACTCTATCCGCCCGCAGTGGAAGCTTGCTACCGATGGTGAAGAAGCAACCCGCATTTTCACCGAAGCTGTTGCCCTGAACTACAACGTGCAGGACTCCGAGAGACCCGTTGAAGCCGACGAAGAAGACGCTGAGAGCAGCTCTTCTGACGAGGACCTTGAGGAGGATGCTATTCACGAAATAGACGAAGACCAGGAATCCAGCGATGAGGCCGAAGTAGGTCCCCCATCTCGTCTACATGAAGTACGCCCTATTAACCCGTTTAACCCGTTGAAGGCGTCTGGACCCAACCCGGAGGCAAATGACGACAGCGATAGCGAGTCTGAGGACGAACAAATAATTGTCACCAGACAGGAAGAGGAACGAGACCCAGTAACCGAGGCTGAATTTGATCGAGAATTCGAAAAGATGATGGCCGAGAGCATGGACTCGAGACGGTTTGAACGCAAGACTGTCTTTGATATTCCTCTTCCCATGAAGCGCCCCCGCGAAAACATGCCCAGCGATTCCAGCCCTGAGCCCATCCCGGCAGAACCTGTTGCGCCCAAGACCATGGCCTTCTCTCTGATGACAAAGAAGGGAAACAAGCAACAGGTGGGCCTTTCTACCCGTATCCGCAATCTTCTGCAAATTGCTAATCATATCTAGACCCGCACCATTGATCTCCCATCGGACTCGACCTTTGCTATTGCCATGCGGAGCCAGCAACAAGCCGACCGGGAAGAACAACAGCGCATCAAGAACCTGGTCCTGAACTACGAGGCGTCGACCGAACCAGAACCTACTGAGAGTGAGCAATATCCCCTGCTCAATCGGCAGAACCTCGAACTGAGACATCCCAAAGCAGAAACCCAGGAAAAGCGTGCTCCCACTGGCCAACGGACGGATAAAGCCGGCGCGAACCGGTCCGCCTTCCGTTCCCGCAAGCTCCAGCTTAGCGACGTCAATTGGTAATGAATGCTGCTACTATCTGGACCGAGGTCCATATTCACTTGACACAGCAGCTAGCGCCTTTCCCTGGGGAAGGTTGCCATCCCACCATGGAGCAATTCTTCCGTCTCTGCACTGCCTAGTGTGAAAACTCTTGGTTCAACCCAATGAGCTTATCTATGGTATACGTCGCACACAAGCGCGAGTATGCAATGCCGTATGAGTATGACCAGGAATCCGTTCTCGCTAATGGAACCTACCCCTTCACGAATGCCATTGAAATGGATGCACCCCTGTTGCTGCCCGGGATCCTTCTTTTTATCACTTTCCCATCCTGACTGGCGAGTTGAGCTGGGCGGAGAACTCGATGTTCCTCATCCCTGCATACAGAATCCTGAATCCCGATATGGTCGCCAATCATGTACCATGGCGAAAGACATCACCGCTTTGCTGCCCTCTTGTGAAGATCGTACACTATTCGATCTAGGGGTGATGGGGTTAAATTGCTCGGAGAAAGAGAATCAACCAGACTGGATGGATACACGAAGATGAATGTTATGCTATGGATGTATGTCTTAGCCAGATATCTATTGTCTAGCAGTAGTAATCAATGTAACCGAATTTCTTTGCACCAAGAAGATGAGATGATTTTTAAAAACAGTCTGAACGTACAATTGTCATCGCAGTGGCATGTGTATCAAAAGAGACCCTAGTGCCAGAGAGATGATTGAATTCGAAGGCAGCGCAAAGAAGCAAGAAGGGCAAGCAAAGGTCTGCTGTTAAATTAAGCTTTTAGGTGTTGTAATGTTAAGCGGCCTTATTGCCCTGAAGTCTGGGCTAGAACTGGATGTATTGCAACGTCTTATTATAATCCAGAGGTAGTAAACTCAACCTAGAGATACAGTGATTACACAAGAGTATCTGACTTGTTTTGCTAAAGAGCAACTTATTTCAGAGTTAATCACTGACCAGTTTGATCTAGTGATACTTGTTTCGGTCCGAGAAATCTGTGTTCTCAAGGTACACCTCGATCTAAAGAGAAAGGCCCATTAGTCTCATGATAAGATTCCTAGATCAAAAAGATGTTACAAACCTTGTTGGTCATCTTTGAAGCGACATCCTTGCAGCACAGACAAGCGGCAAGACCCAAGATGCCGAAGGCCATGGATACCATCGCCACCACACTAGAAGATATTGTTAGAAATCGCTTCTTCCTCCTTGTTCCATTCGGAGAGCGTGGACGAGAGCTGTGTGCTTACAAGATTGCTTTGCAGTAGGCTTGACTGAGAGCCGCCTCTGCTGCCGCAACTACGGCAGGACTATATGATATCATTGCAGCGGGCCCTTGAGACACCACCCTCATTAGCTCTGCGATCTTGGACTCCGGAAGTCCCGCGGAGATGGCAGCGGAGGGGACATATATAGCTGTATATTTCGCTAACGAGTTACTGTAGACTGTTTGGTAAATTGAAGTCGCAACTAAAGATAAGAGTTAGTATGGTTCAAGATGATGGATCGGTATGACGAGCAAAATTGGGCAATACAAAAAAAACATACCAGCTCCAGCAGCAAAGCGAATGCACCCCGAGATCCCACCACTAACCCCGAGATTCTTATGCTCAACACCCATCTGTGTAATAGCAATACTCAAATACAGAGCCCACCCAAACCCAGCCTGAGAGAGGAAGATAAAAGCAATCATAGTCCCCTTATTAGTCGGCGTAACAATCCCAAGCAATGAGCCAAAAACAACCATAACAAACACAGACCCGGTAAGTTGCCAGTGCCAATGTCGCAACGTACTACCAAAGCATGTGAGAAGTATAGCACCGAAGAAGATAGCAAAGCCTTGCGGCAACGACAGAATAACAGAGTACTTCCAGTCTGCACCGCCGTTTGTATAGAACACCGTTATCATCTGCGGCCACAGAATGCTAGACGAGTAATAGAACATATTGACGACGCCCAGCGCAATGACGGGCGCTGTGAAGTCGCGGCCCCACGAGCTGGCGAAGACATACGCGGGTGTCAGCGGGTATTTCAGATTGCCGAAGGACTCCCACAGCGCGAAGCAGACGAGCACAGCCGCGCCGACGACTAGCGGGGCCACGACGTGCACATCGTTTGAGTCGTACACGCCCGCCCATACAATGCCAATTAGGAAGGGGACTGCGCCACCAATGAATAGAAAGGCGCCGAGATAGTCTAGGGACTTGAAAGCTTCTTTGTATGGGATGCCGAGTCTGGGGTTTCTGTTAGCTTGTTTGGTTTCACTGAACAAGGCTTGGAGGCGGACTTACGGGTGCCTGGGAGGGTGGTAGAGGAATAACAGGCCGGAGAATGATAGACCTTGGAAGATAGCCACGCCCCAGAAGTTCCAGGCCCAAGTTCCGAGCTCGTAGCCATAGCGGGCTGTCACTGGTGCGACAATGACGGCTATGTAGACTGTGAAATCTGCGATCACGACTCCGATGTGTCGCCATTTATTGGGGAGGAGTTCAGGTAGGGCGAATGCAGCCATCTATGAATGATCTTTTAGCTGAAACGCTGAAAAAGAGATGGGTATAGATCGGAGGTTCATACCTGACAGTTTGCACCGCCAAAACCGGATATAACGAGTCCGGCAATGACTTGGTTGGTGCTCTTGGCTGATGCTACCACAATATGACCGATGAAGCATACCTAGAGGAATGTTAAAAGCACCATCTAATATTGCTGTAGCGATCAAATTTACCAAATTACCTAGAACCAAGAACCAGCGTCGACCTAAAAGATCGGTGTTTGGGCCACTGTGAAATTCAATGAGCTTTGGATTGGGAGGATATCGGTATTTCAGACACAGACAAGATCAAGAAAGCGCAGGTGATTGATATTGTCCAAGCCTATAATTGAATTAGATCTTTTGTCCAGTGGAATATTTTGAATACAATTCACACACTGGAACGAACCAAATATATCCAGTGGGATCGCCCATATCAGCAGAGATCATGTTGCCAATTGCCGACACAACGGGGACAGGCCAGAAAGAGAGGCCATAACCAATAGAAAGAATCTATATATACGATTAGCATGCACATAATAATCAATTTGTCATATTACTTACCGAAGAGACAATCCATGTCTTCAAAGTGACAACCGGCTCAATTGATTCATTGGCAACAGAAGGCGATCTTGGTGTCTCCGTTGGAGAACCAGCATGCACCGTATTCTTTTCTGTATCCACAGCCATGCTCCGATGCAATACTGCAATGGATGGAAGAAGGAAAATAAAAAGAGAAACAAGTTTAACAATAATTCCTAACGGGTGACCACTATAGTTTAATCATACGAAGAGAGGGGCTTAGGATCGTCTCGCGCTAACATCCACTACAATATGAGTAACTCCCGAGAATGGAGTCTTTTGTTTTTCTCAAAGTGATTCTTTCTCCATTGACTACCAAAACCATCTTCTCCCATATGATGGGCTCACAAATTGAAAGTCGGGTTGCTATTGTCGCAGGGGCCACTGTCAGTACAATGAAACGGAGTACGCAGGGCTCGCTATCAGTCACTGACTAAAGTTCCTTTACAGTCTGGCATGGGGATTGACCTTGCCAAGAATCTCTGCGCAAAAGGATGGAAGGTCGCTTGCGTAGGTCGGCGCCATTCGGCCGGCGAAGCCCTCCTGAAAGATCTGCCGCACGACAGAGCGCACTTCTTTGCCGCAGATGTCTCCAACTACGGAGAGTATGCTAGTGTATTCAGAAAAGTACAGGAGCTCTGGGGACGGATTGATGTATTATGCGCCAATGCTGGCATTGTCGATACTTCTTCCATCTACATCTACGACTCGAAGAACAACAGCGTCGACAACATCCCGCCGGCACCAGATATGTCCGTGGTAGATATCAACTACAAGGGTATTGTGTATGGTACACAGCTGGCAATTCATTTCATGCGCCATAATCCGCAGCCTGGTGGTCGCATAGTCGTTACAGGTAGTATTGGCGCGATCTTCCCCCACGAGTCATATCCTGTATACTGTGGCTCCAAGGCTGCAGTGAACCACTTCGTACGGGGCGTTGCTCCGTTGCTGAAGCAAAAGGAGAATATCTTGATCAATTGTGTCATGCCGGGGATTGTGAGCACGCCTATTGTACCGCCCGAGATGATTGCTGCTGTCACTCCTGAATGGTGAGATTTTGTTCCGCCTTTGCGCAGCATTGCAGAGTGCTAACATCGCTTTGCATTTAGTCTCACTCCTGTGCATACCATTCTCAAAGGCTATGAAACCTTTTTAGAAGACTCGACGGGCATGGCAGGTGAGCTATTAGAGTGCTCAGCTGACAAGCTGATCTACTACCAGATGCCCAAACCTGGAAATGGTCATATCACAAAGCGGGCTGTCACAGTCTGGGAGCCCCTGTTCCGCATCATGCATGGCGAAGATTCCGAGCTGCCGGACGCCATCCCGTGAGCATCGGGGGAGTTAACTACAACCCGACACTACCATTGCCCTAACTGGCTAGCGTCATAAAAAAGTACAGCTAGGCTCCACTACTAGCACAGCCTGCGGCGATCTTCCCCCTCGAACTCATAACCTTGCGTGTCAAATAATCTCAAGCGAGCCAATAGTAGCGCTGTTTCTGCTGCCTCATTTGTCTTCCTCGCGGCAACAGGGTTGTTCTCTTCCGCGTGGGTCTGAAACGGCGCAAAATGTGATCTATCATCTGTCATATGGTTTATTTTGTTTCTTGTTTCTTGCGTTACCGCTCATGCCTCGAGCCTTATGTATTGAACTCCACTACCCTCGATATTGGCCCGTGTCTTTCCCGCGTTAACGCTCTGCTCATGACTTGGCCCCCGTGCAACGGTGATGAGCTAGTGACTTCACAACGAAGTGGTGCTGGTACCAGACGGCTCGTCAGTGTCATATATATAGGCTCAAGTTTTAGGTTCGACTGTTTGTACCCACTGACAGTCGGTATTTGACCGAAATTTGTCCTTACCATGTAACCTCAAAGGTAACGACGAAGATCATTAACTATCGCAGAGACCAAAAAATCCCAAAAAATAAGGCTAACCAATTGTACCTCAAAGTAACCCCAATCCCATCATCTAACTATTAAGAACAGCACCCACCTGATTCTCGACTACCGTCGCCTCCATAACCTCGCGCATACCCTCATCACAAAAAGCATGCTGATCCCGGAAGTAAAAACCGCGATCTGAAATCTCCACCGCAACTCCGTACAGTTCCTCCAGGGGCAAGTGCTTTCCAGGTGTATCAGTCAGCCCCCGGCCCACGGGCTCGCCCCCGTCCACAAGCTGGAGGACAATTTGGGCAATCCTTTCCACATCGATAAAACGGTTAGGCGGGAAACTGCCCCACCCCGTCGAGTCGACAAGATTGGTGCGCACGATTCCTGGGCAGATGGCGTTGACGCGGATCCCGCTTGCGCGAAAGTGTTGCGATATTGAACGCATGAACCCTATTACGCCGACTGGGCAGTGTTAGTATTGGTCGTTTAATCAAGACCAAAATTAAAAAATTTAGTTGATATGTGGTATGCGGTATGCGATCATTATCGATAGATCACATCAATATCATATGATAGTACAATAGTACGTGGGGAGGTAGATAGGGGATATTGTATGATGGACAAAGGGGTGGGGACTCACATTTGGCCGCAGAGTAGAGCGGCGAATAGAAAGAAGGATACAACCCACCACAGCTAGCAGTCATAACCAAGCTCGAGCCTTGGCCCCTGCGAGGCGAGTGACGGAAATAATGCTGGGCCAGGTAAGCCGTGAATATGACGCCCTTCAGATCAGCGTCGATCGAGAGTAGGTCCGGCTCCGGCGGCGGGCAGACATCCCTGCCGTTCTCTGCTTGTAGTGTGGAGTAGAAATTGGTGCGCTCGATGACACCTGCATTCGCAAATACGAAGTCCAGCTTGCCATGCTGCTGGAACATGCTCTGGAACGCGGCTGCAAGGTCGCTGTATTTTGTCACATTGGCGTGATGGTATGTCGTCCGAGGTAGATCTTTTGCCGTATGGGCTCCACGCTCTGAGTTGATGTCGAGGATGTGGATTTCCCAGTCTTTGCGTAAGGATAGGGTGTTGGCTACGGCCAGGCCCATTCCACTGGCTGTGAATTGGTTTGTTTGAGCTTCTTTTTGTATGCATGGGTTTTATGCGGGGGCTTATCACACCTCCTCCTGTAATTAACGCGACTTTGGCCATTTTCCAGGGACTTTAATGCTGTTTGCGTTGAGTATGTAGTGTGAATCAAGCGCTTGGAGGAACTATTATATCATTCGTAGGTTTTTCGGATAGCTGCGTAAGATTATGATTGTCGCCCTTGCCATCAAAATCTCCACAGCTGGGCTACTCCTTGTTTGAACTGATAATCCCCAATATTGTTGTCTGTTCGGACGATCTGCGGGATCCTGAAACGGCCAGGTATATCCTCTCGAGTAGCAAACAGTCGCCTTTTCATAGACCTCATAGACCTAAGGCTCGGATTCTCCATGTCTGACAGCTGATGTTACATATGCTGTTCAATGCTTTGTTGAGTTTTATAGTCAGCATTTAAGAGTAGAGATCCAAAAGAATATCCGTGTGTCTAATGCATAACCTGATTTCAGTTGAGAGCCCAAAGCGCTTTAGACTCCACATATCAGTCCTTTGTCGCAGGGCAATAGGCCCCCTTCCCATTGGCATTGCTGCTAAACACCTGAACATGCTGTGGGGAAAATTTGGGACACTTGTTTTAGACAGGGGTATTTGCCGTCAGAAAAGACTTCCAACCCTGCATAGATTCCTGTCAAATCCATTTCGGGAATGTGCCCCGTTGCCCATGACACATGCTACTGATGGGATATATCAATAATCACGATTGTATGGAGTAGGTCGGAGTGAGTTATAAGCAACAAAAATATCGATCGCTCATCAATATCACTATGCGCCAGCTACAATTTCCTCACGATTTAGTAAAATGAATGGTGTGGAGACTCGCTCTGCAACAAATGAATTTCCTAGACCTTTGATCTGATCTCGAATTATATCGGGGCGAAGATACTTAGCGAGGTTCCTCTTGTAGCAAGGCTCTGAAGGTGATAGATCCAGGCTGATCGTACCGCTGCTGGTGCTTGATTGATATTAATATCGGGAGATCCTTTCTCCATAGTGTGTCTTGAAGCTCTTATTCTCAAGGCATCCAAGGTTGCTTTTTTTTTCACGAATAAAACTTGTCGCTAGTTTGAATATCCATCATGTCCACCGATGCCTTGACAATCGAGACTTTCACTGAATATGGAATTGGCATGGTGTTTCTCTCAGTCCGACTATATGCCCGACTGTACATAGGCGGTCTTCGTGGGCTCCGGCTTGATGATGCTTTTGCTGTTACTGGCATGGTATGTTTAGTTTGTTCGGGCTGTATGGATTTCTTTTTGACGTCGTGATAGATATTTTGGACCATGCAGACTGCCATCATCTATCTCCTAGGTAAATATCAACGAATGATGATTAACTCTTACAACATAGAGCTAATGTGCAAACAGGGCTGTATGGCAACAACATCGGATTAGACGAGCAAACAGCCATGCTTGTCCCAGACAGCAAAATGTCTGATATGATCCTCGGATCGAAGCTGGCTTTCATGAACTGGATATGGTACATTTGTTATATTTGGTGTCTGAAGGGTGTTCTTCTTTGCCTTTACTGGAAACTCACGTATGCCAACGTATCACCGATCGACAGTCTATGTGAGCACTAAACAAATCTAAAATCTCACAGACAAGGAACCTGGCACCGCCACCTAGTTACAGCAGCTGCAACATTCTGCCTCATTACCTGGTTTGCCTGCCTATTGGCACACATCTGTATCTGCAGACCAGTTGAGCAAAATTGGCAGATCAAGCCCTACGCAGGAGGCAAGTCCGAACAATCATATTCACCTAAAAATCCCCAACTAACCGAGATAGACAATTGCACTCTTCGCGGACCTCTTTACATTGTCATCGCTGTCTTCAACGTAATGCAAGTCGTCCCCAGGAGGTCCCGAATCCCAGAACTTCATTCTAACATCATGATAAACAGGTCCGACGTCTGCATAATTTTAATCCCAATCCCAATTCTCGCCAAACTGCAAATCCCGACCCAACGAAAAATAATCCTGGTAGTGATGTTCTCCTCAGGAATCTTCATTATGATCTGCACAATTCTGCGCGCCCACTACTCACTCTCATCAATCACAGACCTCGGTACAGCACTCGGATGGGCAGACCGCGAATGCTTCGTCGCAGCCATCGTCGCCTCCCTACCCGGCATCAAACCGCTCTTCCGCAACACGCGCTGGCTGGGATCGACGAACCGCAAAAACTCCAAGAGCCCTTACTACAACAACGATGGGTGCAATGGGGGTGGGTCGAAGTCTGGAAAGACGAAGACGTTCGTTTCGTCACAGTCTGGGAAGAGTCGCGGATTTGAACTGGATAGTGTGCTGAATACAAATAGGAGGAGTCGTCGCATTTCCGAGACAGGGAGCGAGGAGTATATTCTTGAGGGAAAGCAGGGCGTGGCGGCTAGTTCTAGGCAGCAGGATCCTATGGCTATTCAGGTTACCATGGAGTATACCCTTGAACATGAACAGGAGGTGTCGGATCAGATCAGACCTTGAAAGGTGTAAACTAATTATGTATGTTTGTATTGATAACCTTGGGATAAATTAAAAATTGTACAGTTGGTGAGAGTGACCAAACCCCTGAGACACCAACTGGTTAGTTACAAAGATGATGTCGATAAATGTTGATATCTTTTGTCGTTGTCCATTTACTATATCGCAGCAGCTTTACATGGGATTTTACATGTGATTTTACAACCCAGTCCAGTGGCAGATTTTAGCCCTTACAAATATCTCAACTGTTTACGCGTGTTCTTACAGGGGTCATCCGGACCCCGTGCACTGCAGAATGTCATTAGCTGTTTCACAGGCGGTGTAACTTGAAGAGCCTCCAATCTCAGACCTGTAGCTGACTACTACTTTCTGAGAGAAGATCAATCGAATATGCTCCAAGTCTGGCGACGGTTAGGTGTTCCTTCAATCACTCACCACTGCCTCTATTATTACTCCACTCGACGATTATCCGACATGGCCCATCCCTGGCCCCACAGCTCATCTCCAGGAGAAGATCAACAAGAGCTGACTACTCGTTAGTAGCGTTGAACTCACTTCCACTGTCCGACAAAACGTCATGTCGCTGACTTTGAATTTAAAGACGATAATCCGCATTCTCACACTGGTGGGAGATGGCTTAATCGAGACAAGCTCGAGCAAAGCTCTCGCCATGTCATATTTGATTTCTCAGCACTGTGCGAGCAGGCCATTCGCGCATGCCCAGGAGCAACTAAAGTTGTCAAATACGAGAAACAGGAAGGTAGATTCAATCGAGTCTTTCTGTTAACAATGGACAATGGACCGTGTGTTGTAGCAAGGATACCTACCAGTATCTCTGGCCCACCAAGCTTAACGACCAACTCCGAAGTTGCAACGATGACCTATTGTAAGGCTTAGCAGTATGTCCGTTTTCTCATGGGTATAGCTGGTATGCTAACTCGCTTGTGTCTCGTATTGTAAAGTCCAAGATCTCGCTTCCGATACCGAAAATTCTTGACTGGAACGATGATTCTTCTAATCCAACTGGAACTGAATATATCATCCAGGAGCATGTCGCGGGTGTTCCGCTGCATCAAGCGTGGCCCACAATGAACATGGAGCAACATATGCTGTGCACAAAAGCGCTTTCATTAATAATGAAAAAGATGGCCTCATTAGACTTCCCAGCATACGGCAGTATATACTTTGCAGATGCACCTCTACACCCGGACGCAAAGATTCCCTTTGAGCAGGGCTTTTGCGTGGGACCGCATTGCAGTCCGGTTTTTTGGAACCGGAATCCTGGGGTAAATGAACATTATGGTGGTCCAAGTCCCAATTGCGGACCTTGGAGAGATCTCACGAGCTATTGTCGAGGCTTGATTGATACCGGTTTCTCTCGTTTGCCCAAAGAAGCAAAAGCAGCAAGTAGTCGCGAGTCTCTGCCCCATCAAGGGTCAATTCAAGACCATATCCGTCTATTGAAAATCACCCAAGAGGTGATGAAAAAATTGGCCGAAGATAAACGCATTGCAGATGCTGCTACACCAGTACTTCTTCACCCAGACTTCCACAAGAGAAATATTTACGTCTCACCCGACGACCCAACCGTGATTACTGGCCTGATAGATTGGCAATCAACAAGTATCGAGCCCGCGTTGACATATGCTCATGAGACACCTGATTTTGCCGCAGTCCCGGCCATTCCCGAGGAAGATCCATCCGATAATGAACAAGATGATCCAGAAGTCTCTAAACAGAAAGAACAAGAACTGAAAGATGCATCCATCTGCCATCAGACATATGATGTGGTCATGACAGCACTTATTCCTAAGCTCCGTCCTGCAAGATTACTTGACCCGACATTTTTCCGACTCTTTCACTACACCCATACAACATGGAGAGACTCTGCTGCCGCTATCCGCCAAGATTTAATTGAGCTTTCGGCTAGCTGGCAAGAACTGGGACTAGAGGGCTCATGTCCATATTCTCCCACAGAAGAGGAATTGAAGCAGCATGCTCGAGACTATGAAGATTTCGAGGCCGTTCAAGCACTCAAGTCATGGCTAAGGAACACCCTTGATACTAATTCTGATGGATGGATTCCGAATGATGCATGGGATGCTGCGAGTACTACCCATCGCGCAGCATATGATGAATGGATACAGACTGCCAAAGAAGCCGAGGCTCGTGGCGAAGACATGACAGTAGCAAAGGCGGATAAGATGTGGCCATTTGATGCTAGATAGAAACAAGGGACGAGAATTGAAAACGTGACGGGTATGGTAAATAGGTAGTCAATTGCGAAAAAATTATAACTTGATGTTTTAACCGCCACTAACTCAATTTAATCTCTACTATTAGTAGATACATATCTAGGCATTTAAGCATTCTTAGTAACTAACCAATATATAGTCCTGCATTTTGACGAAATCGAAGACTTAGATTATTATTGTATTAAAATCTTTTAAACTTCCTAAAGCGAGTAGATACTATATCAACTACATATCAAATCTGTCTTTTGCTTCCATTTTTGCGACCGCTGATTGGCTGGCGCCCGTAATTCCACTTTGCTTCTTTCTGCCGGCCGTATACCGCTATAGAGCAGAGCGCGTATATATATATATTTACTAGATTCAACTTTCAGCCATTCAGCAAAAACAATAGAGGTTTAGGGCTTTCAGGTAATTTGCTGCATTACGAAGCTATGAGAAAATTCCCAAATTCATGGATATAATATAAAATCACGCAATTAACTAGCTTCTTACCTAGTTTATACCCGCTCTTTTCAACACCCAAATATCTCTATTTCTGCCAGTTATTTACGGTATATGATTCTTCCCTGTCGAACTGTAAGCACATACGACCATAGGGTGTGGAAAACAGGGCTTCCCGTCCGCTCAGCCGTACTTAAGCCACACGCCGGTGAGTTAGTAGTTGGGTGGGTGACCACCAGCGAATCCTCACTGTTGTATGTTATTCTTTTTTGTTTTTGTATATTTATTAGATATAGGGTATTTGGATAGGAAGGGCACTACAAGGTGGCCATGACTTGTAAGAACTATAAAACTCAGAAGAGGGAAAATTAGCGCAGACTGCTTGTGTATTAAGTAGCTGCGAGTTTCTACAACACACCATGTACTCACTGCCTTTTGTCATATAAGCCCGAGGCTTATTTCACCACCACCTAACTCTCTTCAGACCTCTCCTGTGGGAGAGAACCAAGCACTTGAACACAAGTGTCTTAGAATGGCGACTCTCAGCAACACTGGTCATGGTCCGCTTCAGGTCCCTGAATTTGGCTCAATTCCCCTGAACTTTGAACTCGCCCCGGAGGCCCGCTTTGCCCATGGGTTGGTTGAATATCGTCACGCACCTCGGTTGATCAAGCGAGAGATGGCTATGCTCCGACCCATGCTACATATCACAGAGCAGGGTGGGTGGGATCGCACGATACTGGACTCAGATGAGACCAAGCTTGCAAAGTGGTACTAGGACGCCACGGAAGGAATTAAAGGATTTATTATCAGTACTGCCACATGCAGTAATAAGGCTCTTCCCCAATTATCCATAAACATCATAAAACCTTACGCTCATCATCACTCCACCCCAGGAAGGCGTCCCAACACTAAAACAATGGTATTCTTAACCTCGTCGATAACTGTATCAAGTGGTTTGAGAAACTTGCCATGGTTTATGATGCTGCTAGGGGCGTCAAATTAGTGCAATAGATTTCGAAGAATCATATGTGTTCAGGAAGTTTCCCATAGTATCCAGGCAGTCTTTGGGCACCGAGGAGTATAGATGAACGTTTCTATCAAGAAGCAGTGAGATATAACGTTCATCATACCTACAAAATTTCTAATGGACTCTAATACAATTTCCGGGGACAGCTTCAATCTCAAATTCCCTGGATTTTGCTTGTCGTTCTCATTTTTTCATGGTCGACACAATTTTATATCTGTCCATAGTCTGCATATCAAAGAACCTTCACTGCTACCGTTTTCTCTACCATGGAAAATAATTCTTGATTCCTGTCATATTATACTGACAGTCTATATCCAATACTAGTGAAGTTTATCTGTCTGATCAGAGAGCTACGTAGGGTATGTTCTCGCAGTTAATAAATGAGATGATATCCTGGGATATCTGTAGATTCTCGAGTATAGACAAATCACAACGCAAAGATTAACCAAGGGGTCGCCAAAAGAACGATTACATGTATTACAGGATTGTTACCATCGAAAACCTGTCCTAGCCAACTTATAAGTAGACGGTCGACATGGACAACTCACTATAGGAGCGGGGTACCTGGTTCTTGTTGTCCAATTGGAAAGCCAAACCACCTTCGATAAGAGCACATGGCTGCATTTGAAAAGCAAGTACTTATAGAACCTCGAGGATTATGGTGGGGGGAAAGTAATGCATGGATGATGAATAAGAAGTCTAGTCCTATTATAAAAGACACTATTTCTCTTCTCTTTGCTTACTTTCTCTTCAACCTTAAGCATCCAAATCACCAATAGACTGTGCTCATCTTGATTAAACCTTTTTCCATATTAGCACCAGGGTTAGTTTTATCGGTGCATAGTTCCACAAATCACTAACATGAAAGATAGATGTGTGTTGAGTATCAGTCCTACTACAAAGTTTGTGGATGCTGGGAATCCCTCGGACATGTCCATTCTGTTCATAGTGAATCGCCGGACCAGTGCTATTCGAAAATTATATTTTGGACGCGACCCACAGCGTGTCAATTCCACTCTTTGGAGTCGCCACCAACCCCTACCCCTGAGCCCAGGGTTCCTCTTCTCCGAGCGACTAAATTCAAACCTGGGTATGGCATTCCTCGACCTGGATTCAAATTTGCATACTAATTTACCTAGGACCAGTCGGTTGTGATAGGACGCTGGCTGTATGAGCGTTGGAGGGTCATGAATCAATCACGGATATATGACAACTTGACTGATAATGACACCGAGAAAGTCCTATAACGTAGACGATCCTATACTCTCGGGATATTACGTCTAGAATTTAGTGGATAAAGCTATATGTACCGCCTATATAATATATGCCGCTTTAAGCTAGCTAGTAGTAGTAGCTCAACGATAGACATATAATGCAATTATTAGCTGGTTTTTATAGTCGTGTGCGGTTGATCAGCGAGAAATATGCGTGAGTGGTGCTCCAAAGTTCCATTAGTGTATTCGCAGTTTACTAGGCATCACATGCTATACATGGAATAGTCTGTGTTTGCGCATTTTATACCTTTTTCACTCTTGCTTATTCTATATTTGAGGTCAATTCTTCTTATCCTCCTAGATACCCAATACTAAGAAGGGGGATAATATATGAAAAACAAGTACCTAAGGAGAGTATCAAAAAGGAATACCAAAAAGACTATCAGAAGGCTGCATAAGCGGGCGACTATTCTTGTAGGTAATATACAGAGAAAATTGCATATAATGTTGGCACATGTAAGTTGATAGCTAAATAAACCATGATTTTCTCCATCCGATTTCTAGATTATTTGATTATTTTGGGTTGTAAATTTTTGGTAGTCAGTAACAAGGCATTTATTTTAGACATGTTTCTTTCGGTGGCTGCATCTCATATTCAACATAAACCTCATCTGTGCGCCGTATTTGGTATTGCTCTATGTCATTCAGGATGCTTTCCTGACTCTCCTTTTTGGACAATGGAGTTGGCCTTTCTTTTTTCGACACGTGAGCTCGAGAACTGGATTGATTGTCGTATATCTTATACTGTGCATAAGTTGACGGCTTGGACTGAGCCTTAGACGTCGAACTGAGTTTCAGTTTTCTTAGAATAAGTTCAAGCATTGGTTGTAATGTTGGTATACAGGCAGCAATAACAACGACATTGGCCTCGACACTGGAATTTTGGTTAGTATCATAACCACAAGGTGTAAAAGATAGAAAGTCCTACTTGGTCCAGAGCACAAGAGATACAGTGCCATCTAATTCATGGAATAGCGTTAGCATTTGGTAGCAGGTCATGAGCGAACCGAGAAAGCGAAACTAACAAGTTGGATCTGTTTGGTCAGCCAGGCCCTTGATCTGAGCACATTTGACCATTGCAACTGCAGCCGCACTAGAGTAGACCGGATTGTCAGCTTTGGAATTCTTGAATGGGCTGCCAGATTTGCATACATTGAACCCATACCGAGCGCAGCAGTCAATGCAATCTTCTTGCGCAATGACATTTGAAGCTTGTACAGCACCATCCCGGGATAAATTGCGAGGAAAAGGTCGACAAATGCGGAGAAAGCTATTTATGCATAGCGTCAATCAGTCACTGTCATGGCAATCACGAGATCCATCAGACACCGCTCACCTCCATTAAATGTAGCGTAGTTTACAAGAATCCAAACATTCCTACAGGTTGCCTCTCCTCTCACTACCATCGAGGTTTTCCAAAGTGCCTGTGGTGGATCGCACATGGTAACATAGATCAGGATATTGATGAGCGCAATGATAGACACCATAATGACAAGACCCCACACTACTATGCGTTGGATCTTATTTGGGTTCAGTATTCGGTGGAGTAGTGCGGCTACTGCGAGTTTCGGTAATGCAAAGGATATAATTCCGAAAATGAACGAGATCATATTCCACATGAGGGCGAGCTCGGTGGCCCTAGTTCCAAGATTGGTCGTGTGTTTTCCATATCCGTATGTCACTGAGACTGTCGCAGTCGCAACGAAAAGTAAACCGAAGATCTGAAGTACTCGCAGAGGTTAGAGATATTTGCCCAGTAGTATGTTAGAGGAAGGCGAAGCAGATAGGATATTCACCATAGATGCTCCAATCAACCAATCATCGAACCCAAAGTTGCGTAACATTCGCTGGCGAACGCATAGACGCGCGATAACAAGTAACGTGGCAAGAGTTGTCATTGACCACATTACCGCCATCAGTTCAGGGCCTTTGTTGCCCGTTTGGGCCGCATCAGTAATTGAACCCGCCATACCGGGCAGTGGTCTATCTCAAGATCTGAATCACCATTGACAACCGAAGGAGCTAGGATCTTTATAAGATCTACTCCGTAAAGGAGCCAATGATCCTTTGAGTGGCAAAAAAGGAAAAAAAAAGGGAAAAAAAACAAGGAGATTGTCAGATTCAGGGATTATTTTCGATGTTCTACTGTATGTGAAAACAGGTCCACTTTTCCTTTATAAGAACTTACAATATAAATATTCTATTGGTTTGTTCTAGCGTATATTATGGGGCACAATACATTAGTGAGAGTGCACTAACAGTGCCTCTACGTTCCTGTGAGGCTTCCGTTTATCTCCGATGTAACCACGAGTAGTTTTAGTGCGCTGATCCCTGTAGATTGTGTAAATTTCGGTCCTAGATCGTTGGCCCGCATGTACTAATTATTCGAATAGTCTGATTGTCTACCAATAGAGTGATTTAGTTGTATTTTGCTCCATTTTTTCGCCCCCAAATTAGACGGAACAAACGAACAATATAATAAACATACAACGCAATAACCTCTTATAGCATTAGTATGCAGCACATTGTCTCATTACTATATATGCATGAGATACTATCCGGATTTTTGTACCCATAGTGGAACCATAGTCGATCGTATTCACTTAAGACATCGCAGTGCCCCCTTAGAGTTAGATTTTGGAGATAGTCCATAGTATTTCCGTTCTAAAACCGCCATTTGCTTTCCGTGCAAGGCGTTCAAGCCCACCAAAAACGTTCAAAATGACAATCAACAATGAATCAAACGGATCTGCAACTAATGGGGCAGCCATTATTGATCCTCGGGTTGCCACTATGCCTAGCGCCCCGGAGAAACTTGCGCATTTGCAGAAGGAAATTGAAACACATTCCCAGGCCTACAGCAATGGTGACACTGATGCGCGCCTGAAGCTTCTGGAGACAGCCCGGTCTCTCGTACAGGCAATGGAAACACCCCAGGAGACCATGCTGCGATACTGCTGGGCCCAGGTGCGTCAGAGCAAAGAAGATCCTAGTTCAAGAATCGAGAATACTTATTTGGTTGCTTCTGCGTGATAGCCTACAGCGTTCGCCAGCATTGAAACCTGTATCGATCTGGGGATCTTCTTCATATTAGCACAGACCAACAAGCCAAAAACAGTGGCAGAGCTTGCAGCAACAACAGGCGCGGAACCCGAACTTCTTGGTCAGTAATAATTTCAAAGTCAGATAATTATGATACTTATTATTGCAAAGGTCGTATCATGAAGCATCTTGCCACAATGGGGGTCTTTGTCGAGACTGGTATGAATGAGTATGGCCGCAACGGGCTAACTACCACATTGGCTATGAAGCGGTACAATGATGCCTGGCCATGCATGTAAGTAGCTCAACCCGTGAGCGTCTTCCTCTCCAGGTTGGTCTAGTACTGACTTATCATTTTCTTTTGCCGGCAGTACTGGATGCACCCTTCCAGCAGCCAATGCACTGCCCACCTGGCTCAAGAAAAACGATTATCGAAGTCCCACCGACGGAAAGGACTGTCCATTTACTCTAGGATTTAAAACCGATTGTCACTTCTTCGAATTCCTCAACGGCAAGAATCCCGATTATCCCGAACTTGGCGCTCAATTCAACAATCTCATGTCGGCGTACCACCAAGGTAGACCCAGCTGGATGGATGGAAACTTCTACCCCGTACAAAGTCTCATCGACGGAGCCAAGACCGGCGATGAAGACGTTTTCATCGTGGATGTTGGTGGAAATAAGGGACATGATCTGGAGGAGTTCATATCGAAGTGGCCCAACACACCGGGCAAGTTGATCTTGCAAGACCAGCCGCAAGTTTTGGAAGATATCGAGTCGTTGAACACAGCAATTACACCAATGGTCCACGACTTCTACGAGGAACAGCCTATCAAGGGTTAGTGCTGACGCACATAGACTGGATTGACTAGCAGCTGACAATATCTTTAGGTGCGCGAGCATATTTCCTACACTCCGTCCTGCACGACTGGAATGATGAAACGTGCAAGAAAATCCTGTCCCAATTGGCCGCGGTGATGACACCCGGATACAGCAAGTTGCTGATCAACGAGAATGTGGTTCCCAATACCGGGGCCCACTGGCAGGCTACTTCTCTGGACCTAATAATGATGATAGATCTTGCTGCCAAGGAGCGGACTGAACAGCAGTGGCATGAAGTTATTGAACCGGTTGGTCTCAAAATTACTAAAATCTGGACGCCGCTAGATAGTGTTGAGAGTTTGATAGAATGCGAGTTGGCATAAATGTTCGTATTAGAGGAAGATCGACAAATTATACATATGACATGGATTTATACAAATTAGGCAGGTAATAATTCCCCCACAGGAATATGTTATCCGACAAAGCTGCTAGGAAGAATCTGAATATCAAAAAGAGTAAAAGATTGTCCAAGAGAAGTTTATTCTACGGACTATGGAATTCCCCTTTGTGGACATTATCGTCAGTCTCCAACGTCATCCCGAAATTGGTATATCCCACTTTCTATTGAGTACATATAATATCAAGGTCTCTTCAGCTGTTGAATTTCAATTGAAATTTGTCATCCAGAGATTTTCGTATAGTTATTAGAACTGATTTCAGAATAAAATAAAATCTATAAAGAGCGCGAAGGATTGTGCAATTTCCACTCACAGGAACAGCGGGGGTTTATCCACCCAGCTGAACATGAAAATACGCCAACCCATTCTACCCTTATAACCCCACCGTTCCCCCCTTTCTTTGACCCCAGAAATATGTCTTGGAAAAGTGGGTTGAGGGGAATATTGATTTCAATTATTGGGTTATCAACCAAATATGGAGTTGTCAGATTTCATAGTGTAGAACCTAGCTTCTATAACTCTCTACTCAATCAAGCTTCTCACATAAGATCATGCACTTCGACGTAGTCCTCTCTTGACAGGAGTCTTTCTACATTTAATAACAGCAATCTAGCGCCATTCCAAGTCGTCTGTAATGTCCCTTCTAACATTGATACAAGATCTCCATTAAATTAAGGGAAGACGTCCCCGTCAACATATTCTGCCTCTGTTTCCAGGTCATCTGGTAACTTTCCCAGCGCTGGCCAACCTTGTCTTCGATAGATTGACCATTCATGATAGTTTCCATGATCAATCACGGTGTTACTATTACCGATGTATGCCAAATGAACTGGGGCACGAATATATCTGAATCCTCTCAAACTTGGGAAAGGCAAGTGTTGAAGTAGATCATGGTCCGGCTCAGACTTGTACTCTTCCACCACAACCAGAATGACCGTTTGATCAGCCTCAAATTGTCGATCAACACAAACGAAAGATACCGCTCGCCTGTTGTCGGACTTGGGATACAAGTAAAGATCCCGGACAACTTCCCAGATGTCTTTCACCTTTCCTTCGACCATGCCTGTGTCATCGCTCTTCCAAGGCACAAACAAAAACTCAGGCCTTGTTTCTTCATCTCGGGATGCAACTTCAGATTCAGATCCAGATAGATCCGGCTCATCAAATGTTAACAAAATCTGCTCCAGACTCAGTTTTCCAGCTTCGGTCAACTGATTCGTGAGAGAGACCACAGTTCGAATCCAGTTTGTCTTGATAATAGGTAACCACAGGGGTGGGCTGATGAAGAACGGTTGTTCCGGGTGCCAGAATTCTTCTTCGGCACTCTTTTTACGAGGGGCATGCTCAAAAGCTCCTCTATAAACATTTACACAGCCAAATCTTTCTATATCTGTGCAAAGATCCCCAAATACCATGTGTCTCATGATGGCTGGACTTCTGTAGGAGTGGGAGGACTTGAAGGTCAAAACGTTAAACTGCGCCTCATCTAGATCAGACAAAGGCTTGCGCAGAAATATTAGTGGCATGATCTCTGGTCTTGCCCCCAGTTTCGCGTCCCATACACGATATTCATCCCAGAAGTCGACGAGATCCAGTCGAGTTTTCATGCGGTGCCGGTCCCTTGAGATCAGCTCTAGGGTCATATCGGGGGTCTTGGTATACCAAGGCTCAGTTTCATAGATCCACTCTCCTTTTGACATTCTTCTGGTTACTTTTTCGGGGGGAAACATTGCCGGGAGTGACTCTTGTAGAGTTCGATATGTCTCATCAAGCTCTTGTGCTGTTGTATGATACAACAGGAAGATGACTAGATGTGTATTTCCTGGACGACGTTTCCAGATAGGCATTCTGATCGGAGTGCTGTGCGTATTGGAAACCTGCACTGCTAGCTCCATAGGTAGGTGGCGGCTCAAAGCAGTGATTGTGGCGTTGGTATAGTATTCTCTTCCTAATATATCTCCTGCTCTGGATGCGAAGGGCTCTTGATAAGGGTCATGCATTATTGATCCCCGCCACCCTTGCGAATGGGCCCACAAAGGTCCCCAGGCTTTGTGGACGGACCTGAATGCGCTTGGCTGAGGATCATCGTCACTCCATAAGTAGTCTATGTCGTCAAGATTGAACATTTTCGCTTGGGTGGAGCAAATAACACGCCTTGCAAACACAGACAGTCCACCTGATTGGGTATCACGACGTGTAGATACGAAAATTGTTGAAATGACGCCTCCTGGTTCGTCCGACCATAAATCAGCATTGGGAAGATATTTCCCTGACAGCTGGCGTTTAGTTGCTTCATCAGCCACAATGATTCTTGGTCGACCCGATCGGTATGCTAGCACAGCAAGGGTACGGATGTTTCTTTGGCTATCAAGGCATGAACATTGTCGAGTAATGGATTCGAGAAGCCGACGAGGTGGCGACTATGCATGAACCTTGACTTCCTGGATGATATTCTGGGCTTGAAAGGAGGCCGCGAAGTAGTCACTGGAATGGGATTTGAGATCGTCCTCGAGTGTCGTCTGGATAAGCCCAATAAGTCTCGCTTGGCTTGGTGCACATAGGTCGGTCAACAAAACCAGTGGCCATATGTAATTTGGATCCATGGTATCATTTGACATCTTGGATGATCAGCGGTGCATGCACTCTCCGTGTACGATAGAAGAACAGGTTGAGGCTGAGAATATGTATTCCGTAGGCGTGCGGCCATTATTCCTGCCCCCACTACGCACCTAGTGGGAAACGCTTGGACTGTCTGACTCACAATGGACAGATAATGAGCCTGAATGAGCCTCAATAGTATCAAGCAAGCTTGCTTGGCGAAATGGCCTAGCGTCAAATGATACCCAAGCCAGTCTTGTCGGGAAACCATTCAACGCCTCACCCTACTTTCATAGTTAGTATTTTAGGGATGTACACATCTGAAACGAAGAACACTCAGTTTTGGAATGCCATCCGTAATACCATGCATATTATTCCATATATAATGCCTTGTATAACGCCACGAGACTTTACATGGTTTAAGATGTTTTCACGGTGATTACTGTCAATTCTCATCTCTCAACGACCAGAAATTTTCAACTGTACGAAGAAAAAGAGTATGAGGGGCAGGAAAAGGAAATGGAGGTTGTACTCGCAGGTGGAGAGGTTGTGCCTTCCATCCATGGATAGCCTGTTGGTAGATAAACAAGAATTATACGAGCCTGAAAGCCTGGACACAATTGCCTACCATGGGATAGAATAGCACTGCAAGGAATTCTCAAAGCAGACTGCTATCATTTCAGATTCTGATAGCGAAACCCGAGCATACCTAGGCAGGATTCAGGGCTACTTACAGAGTATATGGGTAACACTTGAATGACTTGACAGCTCACAGAAGAGTGAAGCGTGTTCAGTTGTCACTCACTACTAAATATACATAAGTGTATGGGCTATGCCTTGCTAAGCCAAGGTTACGGGGTTATATTGCATGAATTTTGATGAAAAGTTACTGGCTATTATTTCGCACATCACGCAAAGCTCTCTATACTAGATACCAGTCATGATGCAAGTCTATCCAAGTTCCCCTCTTTCTTTTATTTGTCCAAAGGACAAGGGCGTGAAGCATATCGGTACACTAAGTTACACATTGAGAGGAAGTATCAGGAAGAACAGAGAGGAGCGCAGACCGGGGAATGGATATGCTGAAAGATCACGGAGGGGAAAATGCATCGAAGGAAAAATGGGAGATGGAGAGATGGCAGAAAGGTCTATATAATACACAACTCCAATCCCAGTCCCTAATATGCATTACAGAAAGGAGATCAAGGAGTAGACTTGTCTCTAGGGGAGGGTGGCGTCAAACAGGATGCAGGCATTCGGGAAGTCGATTCTAAGCCTTGCTGGCCTGGTTCTTCTCCTCGGTGTCATGCGCGGCCTTGGGGATGAGGGAGTCACTCTCGGCTATTTCACCGACGGCATCGGTGTCGGCCTTCATCTGGGTGTTGACTTCCTTGGCGCGGGTCTGCTTCTCAGTAGGGTGCGATGACGCATCCAGCTCGGCGGCAGTTGGGGGAATTTCGGAGGTAGCGGGAGCATCAGTGGGGGCGGGAGCCTCGGATTGGGGCTCATCGTCGTCTTCTAGCTCGGCGCCGTAGACTTCGGGGTGTTGGCGGAAGCAATCTTGCATTGCCCTGCAAAAATTGTTAGCACAGGACTATCGCCCTCAAAAATGATAATGGAACATACTTGAATTTGTCAACACAGTCAATTCCCTTGGGATCTTCCTCGGAGTAGACAAAGCAGCTGAACGCAGCCTTGAAGTCCTCTCCGCAGGGCCCGTGGGCCATGCCTCCAAGGCACGGGCAGTCCCAGTTGATCTCACCAGTCTCCGGGTTGAAGGCAGCCTCCTGGCTAGCCTCCTCCTGGAGCTCCTGTGCGTTCAGTCCACCTTCCAAAGCAGCAGACTCGCTCTTCTGGGACTGCGCGGCAGCTCGTTCTTGCCGAATCTTAGGAGTAATGGAGTCGAGGGTCTGGGATTTGGCATCATCGCCGGTTTGTTTCTGGATCGAAGAAAGGATAGAGACTAAATCCAAATGGAAGCAGAGTTAGCGATTTGTGACTCCAAAACTGGTTAGCCATGACGGTGACGGAATTGTCGCAGCTTTGCCAACCTCGGGATCGAGGAACAAGGGCAAACCCAACTCCAATCGGCGAGACGTACACTTCGGCTCCTCGGAGAAAACGCTGCTCGTGTTGTAGTAGTAGATAGCACCGCCGGCCAAGCCCAATCGCAAGAAGGAGTTCTTCCAGCTTCTCGACTTGTTCGGACCGGTGCTTATCAATCGTCTGTTCGCTGGTGTACGGGCTGCGACAGCAGGCGCGCGGGCGAGCGCGCGAGCGGCGGGACGAAACATTATGTGTGAGAAGAGTGGGAATCAATCGAATTGACCGAGAGTTCCTCCAAGAAGGGATTGAGAGGAGGGGAGTCGAGGCACCGCGGGATGGAGAAGTTGGAAAGCGATGGTGGATTTTGGCCTGAGGTTGTCTACCCGCATCAGCCAGTCACGTTGCAGCTTGGGTCACGATAATTATATCGTCACCACGTACCCTTATGGGCTTTGATTTCTCTTGATTTACTTGGTTTTTTTTTTGGATTACGGTTAAATTTGTATTCATCTCTTGCAATGGAGTGGGATCCTAGTCGATTCTTCCGCCCTTCAGGGAGTCCTTCGCCTTATGCTCTTATCATCCTCAATCAGCCAATCAATGAGAAAGCTTTTGGGGTGTTGAGCAGATATGGTGAGTTTCTATATGAATGACCTATAAACATGATGTTTTGAATAAGAAATACTAATACTCATGCAGCATCCTATATCATTTGTGCCGATGGAGGTGCCAATCGGCTTTTTGATATGTTGAAAATTAATGGAATAGAATCTAAACAAGTAAGTGATCTCTATGGACTTTACTATTTGTAAAATCCTCCTGGGCTGGGAAAAAAAAACACAATTGAAGCACAGCAAAGAACAAATCAAGCTAAGATATCAAGCTGACCAGAGATATAGCTTCCTGACCGCATTGTTGGCGACCTTGATTCTATCCGCCCCGCAGTGCGAGAACATTATGAGAAACTTGGAGTGCCTATCCTCGAAGATCAAGACCAATACTCAACAGATTTCACAAAGTCTCTGAGATATCTCAATGCACATGCTGCAGAGATCATAGCTTCTCCCCGGAAAGGAAAGCCAGTCACCAATGGCTCAAATGAAAGCACATCAACCTCACCATCTGACCAATCACCTCTGGAAGTTGTGATCCTCGGAGGTCTAGGTGGCCGTGTGGATCAAGCTTTCTCCCAAGTCCACCACTTGTACATGATGACGCAGATGCAGCGCTCAATCCGTGAAAATGAAACCAACACATCAAGCTCCAATGCGAAGTCAGCTGCAGGCGGCAACCTCTATCTTGTCTCTGAGGAAAGCATTACCTTCATTATCCAAACGGGGAAGAATACAATCCTCACGCCCGCAACAAGACGAGCAGACATCGGGACAGTGTCGACATCTGATGCAAGCGAGTCGCTAAAGAAACGGAAGCGTGAGCAAGACCAGGCGCAAGAGCCAGACCCAGAATACTTCTTCGAAGAAAATATCGGCATCATCCCCCTCTCAGGGCCTGCCAAGATTACAACCCATGGCTTTGAATGGGATGTGGAGAATTGGCATACCGAAATTGGAGGTCAGGTATCCACGAGTAATCATATCCGCGCCGATAAGGTGGATGTTGAAACCTCTGCGCCGGTTTTGTTTACATTGGAGTTGGCGGAGAGATTGAAGAGATGACCGTGAACGTGAACGTGAAGCATGACATTGGGTACGGAGGTTAATAGAAACCACCGCGACAGCTGTCCCGGACCTCTCACGCCTTACGGAGCCTAGGCTATCAGAGTCACATATCGCTGCCTCAAATTTGTGATTCAGCCCGCACCTATAGCAGCTTATATATTAAATTGGCCTTCACCAACCGCTGCATGCCCCGCTGCGCATTTTGAACAATATAAAAACTTCCCGTGGGCTCCTGTTCCAACCTCTGGGGCCTTTCTTGAATCGCTCGAGTCCAAGCACCTCTTGTTAATCCTTTCTACGTTGTCGACGTCTCTGAAGCCTAACTTAACGACCCTCCGCCTATGTACACAATATCAAATGCCTAAACCAACGTTAAAAGGCTATCCGCAGCATGAATAACCTCGACTTGTACATTTACAACTACTGTCTAATACCCTGTTACGAACTGGAGAATAATGAATCGGCCATTAAAAGAAAAAGCACGGGAGAAGTTTGAACCTCCCAAGAGATAATCAGAACCAGAACCAGAATATAAACCCCAAGGCGCCTTCTCTGGCTAGAACAAGAGACCAAGAAAGACAGGGGAAAGAGAAGGCAGGAAAAGAACCCCAATATCGCATATCGCATAATCCACATACCAGTGACTAAAGTTGAACCCATAAACAAACAAAAAAATAACCATGAAGACGAATGGAATAACAATCACTCAAAACCACTGAATAACCAACCTCACAAGATCATCTGTACAGCTCGCAAAAGTTATATTCAACCTCTTACGAGCGGTTCAGAATCGCCTCGTACAGAGCACCAACACCGCCGATAGCAGTTCCAGTCAAAAGACCGAGATTTCCACCAGGGACCGAGTCAAGTACCTTCCCAGCAGCATACCCACTATAGAAACCAAAGAAGTTGAACCCCTTCTCAAACACAAGATGCACCAGCAGCGCCTTGACGATGTTGAAAGTCAAAGGATCAAACTGGGCGAGGTTAGGCGTAGACCGGGTACGCCGCGCACTGCTAGAAGCCTTCCAGCTCAAGTTAATAAAGTAGGCAGAAATCAAAGGCAAGAGCAGACAGGTAAGTAACCACAGCGAAAACGGCGCCCAGAACGATCCTTCCAGCAGCACAAATAGATCAGGAACACGGATGGGAATCGCGGGGATATGCGCCGCTTGCAAAGGCGGTGTTGTAGTAAGGTAGCGTATCGGCACCAACGCCTTCGTAAGACTGCCACTCTCAAGCAGCAGCACAATGATCTCAACGGCCTTCACGCTGCTCAGGGATGCTCGCAGGGATTGCGCCCGATCTACAAAACCTGACGCAGTCCATGCATTCTCAATACTCTCGCGCAACTTGAGTGTCTGCGCATCGATGGCTTCGGTGATGGCAGCTGGAGACGCCGGCAGCGAGGGCTCGGAGTCCACGATGGCAGCTATAATAGATTGAGATTGACTGGGTGTCTGTGTCTGTGTTTGTGTTTGTGTTTGTGTCTGGCGGGGTGTTTGGCGCGCAGACTGGCGTGCGCTCGTCCGCGCCACAGTCGGAGCTGGAGTTGGGCTGACTACGGTTGGGCTGGGAGCAACATCTTCCATCTCCTCGCTGGCGCATGGGTTAGTATATGCGCAATAGCGATAGATAGAATGGCGCATCTAGGGCAATCTTACATAATTTCCTCTTCCTTTACTTCCTTCTTCGCAGAGCGGCGTGCTGGGGTTCGTGCGGGAGTTCGCGCAGTTTCGCGCTTCACGGGCGATCCTCTGCGGGGTGGAGAGGCCAGGCGCGAGTAGTATTCAGAGAGGCTCTTGAGTCCAGAAAAGATAGAACGGTTTTCGCGGAGATGTCTATCCAATACTACGACAAGATCATTCTTGTTATAGTCATCGTAGCTATAGATCCGATTAGCTTGGTCTATGCGACAATCGCATTCGTACTTACTGTGGCAAGTCGGTCTGGTCGGCCAACGCAGCCAACTCGGGCTTTTTCAGCGACTTGAGATAAGGAAGAGACATAATGTATCCGATATCAACGTGCGAAATTGGACCAATGTCAAATAAGAAAGTAAATACTGGGGGGGGAAAGAAGATGCAAGGGAGGGGAGTGGCCGGTAATTGTTTACGTCCGCCGATCGCCAAAACAAAACACGGCTTAGCGCGTTCACTCCCTTTGTTCAGTGTCATTCCAGTTCTTTGGGCTTTTTCATTTCTTTTTTTAGATCTTTTAAGAGAATGTTCCAAGGTTGTATAATAGAAATGTTTTTGGTTGATATTTTATATATTTTGTCCTGCTTGAAGAATAGCAAACATCACACCTAAACGGAGTATAGAACCTAGAAAGAATATGTCAAAATATGCAAAAATATATATAATATGGAGTTGAAAAAAGAGCTATGGTACAGGAAGGCCGCAGCCAGTCTAATAATCTATCACAGAATAGGATACACAGTATACAAAGTGCTCAAAGACAGGGTCATAACATCCCAGATCGGGACAAAGAATCCAACGCCCCCATTTCCCAATGACCAAAAAAAAAAAAAAAAAAAAAAACGAACAACAACCTTGGAAATGCATGCAGTTGGATTAAAGGTCTTACAAGGACTCTTCCAGAATCTGGTAGGCCTCGAGTTGTTTGAGCAGGTACTGATACATGACCAGCATGGTCCCGCTTTGGATGCTAGTCCACACACCTCGTGGGCCCACGCCACGGAACCACCCCGCAATACCCTCCGTTCGGTAGATCATCTTCAACCCGGTGAACACGGAAGAAGTGTCAAGACGGGGTGTACCTGGCGGTGGGATTGTCGTATTTGCACCTGATGTGGAGATTGGTCGCGAGTGTGCCCGGGGAGTATTGGAATGAGATGATGCTGGGACGTGCGGGCGTGGGCTTTCTTTGGGCATGTGTTCGACACAATGTTTGGCGCCCGAAGAACCGGGTGGGAGTGCTGGGGGATTTTGCTGGGTTTGAATGCGCGTCTTGACCACATCCATCGGACATGTGATCACACCAGCCATACCGCCGGCAGTGGCAGCTGTCAATACCTCCAAGCCCAATCCTATGTCCCGTTTTCCAACCCATTGTTTAGCCATAGATTGCTCTTTCTCGTAGAATGCAAATTGGAGCGCCGAAAATGGGAGGTCGCGGAAGATAGTGGCCTTGTAGCCGTGGAATAATGCGGAGAATCCTTCCTGGCGGACGATCTGGCGGAACCCATCTCGCATGTTGCGGTAGTTGTAGCCGGAGTTGAAGTGCGGGTTGTTGTGTCGGCCCTGCAGTTGAAGTCGTGTTTTCAGCACCTCGGATGGCACATAGATAACTGAGGCAGCCAAGTCGGCAAAGAAACCACCGGATAGATAGGCGATGCTGGGGTTGATCCCTGAGTCGATCATCAAGCGCTTGGTATATTCATACACACCGAAGAAGATTACGGTGCCGGGAAATGAGCCCAGTAGGGCGGGCGTTACTCCTCCATATAATCCGCGACATAATCCTTCTTGTCGGTAAATTGTTGCATATGACTGGCCCATCGAAGTGTATTTAGGCGGAAACGTCGGATCGCCTTGTTGTCGGGTCTTGACTGTGTCTAACGAGTGCATCAACATGTCGCCGCATGTTCCTCCAGTACCACCGGCCAACATCGCCTATAATTCCAAATCAGGTCAGCCTTGCGCAACGGTATGGTATCGCTAGGGACAAACGTACATGTAGGTATGGCGGCCGAGGTTCCTCTTCCTCCAACAGCGCGAGGTCATCATTTCGAACAGTGTATTTTGAATGATCGATTCCACCCATTGGAGTCGGCTGTGCCCATGTCGAGGTATGTGAGTCACCCGCAGGCGGTGTTGTTGAGTCTGGGGTCGCTGTCGAGAACAGGCCGAACACCCGCGAGGTCAGGCTCATGGCAATATTATGCCAAGTTGCAATCCCAAGCGGTACTGGTCGGGACCAGGCTGGGTATTAGGGGGTGCTGAGAGATTTAATGGGAGAGGAGCACCCCTGGGAGGCAAGGATAATGATAAAGAGTGACAAGATATCGAGAAAGGATTGATTATTTGTTTGCGAGATGATTGTTCCACCAGCCAAAATTCTGATCGGCTTCTTTCGCCGCCAAGCCCGATATGTCGCCTCAGGCATAAATCACGGGATTTCGTCATTGGAGCATTTTAATGTCTCCTGAGAGATATGATTGTGAGAATAGCCTATGGCATGATTGAATATGCAGACTTGATCTCAGGGGCTTTTTTCATATCTGTAAGGACACGAGATGATGGGTTCCTATAAAAACCGCAAACGATATCCTCCTATGCATGTACAAGAAAGTTATACAGATTGTCCAACCTGTTCAGATGCCACTTTCATATGCGTTGGTATTTCTAATTCAGCTATTACTAATGTGTACCAGAATCAACCTGTGCAGGTCTTGGGAACAGCACTAGATTTAGTAGATTCTACAAATTTCCAAGAATGAAATAATGAAATGAATCCGAAACAATGTATGTTGACAAGAGGAAAGCAAATACAGAAACTATGCATCGCCATACTCTAGGAATAATAAACACAAGTCGTTGCGTATAGCATCATCATGGCGGGAACCCTCCGCATCCGCCTCTTTTCTACAGTCGGGACCTGGGCGTCCCATAATCCGACAACCTCCAGGTTCTTCTCTCAGGCGAGAACTTGCCAATGGGAAAGATAAAGCTGTAATATTACGTCTTGCACCAGCAACCTTTGTTCAGCAATTTTGCAAACCTGAAAACCCACGTTCTTTTCCAACGTCAGGAGCTCCAGCTTGCAAAGCAAGGCGTCTGGCACATCACCATAGAGACATTTACTGCGGCTTCTTGGCAGCGGTAGGGCCAGAGATGTAGCGGCCAATATCGGTGGCCTCGTAGCCCTGGCGCACAATACCCTTGAGGGTCTCCCAGCCCTGGCGAACCTGAGGAGGAGTGCTCTGGTGGGCGATGGTGGCGTCGGCACGGGCAGTGAGCTGACGGACAGCCTGCTGGACGAAGGAGCTCTGCGCATAGCGGGCGCGGAAGAAAGCCAGATAGACGGTCAGGAGCACCCAGCTACCGCTGGAGAAAGTGATAGCGGACAGAATAAGGCGGAACAGCAGGGCAATCTCGAGGGTAGCGACAACACCCATGCTGGCATCGTAGTATTGCTTGATGAACCGTCCAATGGTCTCGGCGAGGGGAGACTGCTTGACAGCGGGCTTAGATGGGGAGGTGGGAGAGGTAGGGGCGGCTGGAGCAGCGGGCTGCAAGGTGGGGATCAAGTACATGCGGCTGTAGGTTGCGACGTGGAAGACCGAGTAAACACTGAAAGGCAGAAGAGCCAGGATGAGCTGGCGCGAGTACAGCCAGACCAGAGCCATCCCTGGAATACGTATAAGCTTGAATCTTGGACTATCGCATTGCCAATCACTCACCAAGGTATTGCACATTCTCATCAGAGATGAGCTTCATCACAATCGCGAGAGGGCTGCCCTGGACACCCCGGGCAAAGTGGCCCTTGTACACGACAATTCCATAGGTCACGGCGGCCGAGATGAAGGTCAGACGGTAGGCGATCTGGGCCGTGGAGGAGTAGTAGTTGAAGAAGATGCAAGACAGGGAGTAGCGGAAGACGGAGAGCAAAAGTGTCACATGTCTAGGGATTGTTAGTGACCCTGAATTCAGGTCTTTGTTGGTGTGCGCTTCAGCAGATTGACCTACCCAACGAACCAGGCAAACCTGCAACGTGGCATTTTGTTAGTATTGGCAAACAAGGCATTGAAGCATGGCTTCAGCATCGGATTAGGGAAACGCACTGTAGGGTCTGCGCGAGGGCCTTAAGTCTCTCGACCAGAGGCAAGGCCGAGGAAGGAGGAGGAGGAGCCATATCTTTTTCCAATGGAAGATGAAGAGGATGATAGAATTACTCGGGATGAAGGAAAAGCAAAAGCAGAAAATGTGGAAAGCGACAAATAAGAAGGTGGCTGGGGGAGAGCGGGGAGACAAGTAACATCCGTGGGACCGCACACTGAGCTTCTGTCTCTCCGCCTTCTTGTCATATGGTGACGTCGGGTAATCGCAATGATGCAATTTCTGATCTATATCTGATCTATTTGGCTTCTTCTCTTCTATTTCCTATACATCTTTACTCCTGATTTTAGTTTAACATTTGATCTTGCTTATCTGTTTGTTTCAAGCCTCGAGTCGAGTCGGTGTGACCGACCCGCTTGAGGAGATCCAGCACCACTAACGTTCGGCCATTTGCATACACATTTGCATATACTTGCAGGATTCTCCAATAGTTCATATGTCGGTTATATCTTAGCGATTCACATCTTTTTGGATAAATATCAATCGAAGGGAGATATAACATACACAATATGATTTTCAAGTTTGATCCGAGCTCTTCTGATATATACAGAACCGGTCAAGTATACATAATATGGGCTCAGACGGAAAACCTATAACTAGATATCGCAGCCTTAAGAATTGATTTAGCTACTGAATAAATAGGATAGAATGAGATACTTAACTTCGATCATTCATCCACGACAGTACTATTCTAGACCAGGAGAGCAAGAGGCCTGTATACCCTAGATTGTCGACGTGGTCGAGAAAACATGCCATTCCATATTAGCCGACGCACATTACGGGAACAAGTCTAGAAGACCGCGTTTCAATGCCTAATTTTTTTTCCAGAACATTCCTTGATAGCCGAATCCTATCAATGCTATCTTTAGACTGACCTGGGCCAAGAAACACCAAACCATTCAAGGTATAGTTATTTAATTAGAAAACACATCCCAATTTCATTATTATTCCTTAAGTCCAGTCCCTATTGAATATGGCTACTCAGCTAACTATTTTTCCCTATATGAGTTAGCATTAGCACATAAGTAGGAGTTCCAATGGCCAACGCTCAACATCTACAAAGGCTTGTGGCAAAACACCGATACAATTATGCTGTCGACCTGAACCCTTCGCGCGCTCAGAAATTTGTACCAATCCAAGTTCAAAAAATGAAACTAGGTACATTGAGCATATTCATACCTAAATTTATCCCTATAGACCCTTCACAACCTTTAGTTTTCAAATATCGTATAGTATGCACCAAACCTGCCGCGATGTACATCAATCGACGCTAATATCGGGGTAGCCCTGCTATTTTTAGGCGTGCATGCTGTGCCCTGACAGGAAAAGCCCCAGGAACATAAGCGCCAAGCTTAACCGATGCCCTGATTAGACTTAATAACATCGGACATTTGAATAACACGAGAATTCCCTGAGGGCATTATACGAGATGGCCTTTTGAAAGAAGATTGTTTACTTTCACTCGATACATCCTCGACACCAGATACGGGCTTTATGGAAATGATCTACGAATACGAATCGAAAATCTCTTTGCATTCCACTTCTATACGAGCTTCGTGGGATCCAAAGCAATAATGAGGTGTCCAGAGATATAAAATGCTTGTTGACTCTCGTTCAAACTATTCTATCCATCAGCTCACATCACAACATCGACTACTTTACAATCTGCATTCTGCAATACCAGCTTCAACTTTGCAATATAATTCAATTTACCATTCCAAAATATATTCAAAATGAGATTCACTCCCATCCTGGCTCTCGCATTTACCGCCATCGTACCAATCATCAATGCCTATCCCATCACTGGCAACGTCGTCAACTGCGGCTCCGGTCCAGGCACTTCTTACTCGGTAGTCAAGAGCTACAATAAGGGAGCCAACGTTGCAATCACCTGCCAGGCTGCCGGCACCATTGTCAATGGCAACGAAATCTGGGATAAGAGCTCCGACGGCTGCTATATTACGGACTACTATATCAGAACAGGGAGCAGCAGCTATGTCACCAAGAAATGCGGCAGCAGCAGCGGGGACGACAGCAGCGGAAATCTTCCCGGTCTCACATCCACTCAGACCAAGCATGCAAAGGCCATCATCGGAGAAGCAAAGAAAGAAAGCCTAGGTCGTCAGGGCGGTCTTGTTGAGGTAAGTCCCAGTATATATATTCAATTCCGATGTAACTACCCAGGATATCACTAACACCACCTCAAGCCTAATATGCTTATTTATGCCAACAAGAAAGTTTCTGCTTCCCTCAAGTATCCGCATGATGCTGTGGGCTCGGACTACGACAGCGTGGGAATCTTCCAGCAACGCGCTATCTACTATCCTGACATCGCTGCCGATATGGATGCTGTGAAGTGGGCGGCTCAGTTTTTTAAGGGCATGAAGAATGTTAGTGGTTGGAAGACTATGGAGGTTGGAAACTTTGCCAGAAGGTGCAGGGCTCGGCGTATCCGGGTCGGTATGCGGAACGTCTCGACGACGCGAAGAAGATTTGTGTTGCTGGTGGGCTGTAAATGGACATTATGTTTGATATTCTCTTGGATTGTGTTTAATAGACACTGGCATGTGAAGAATGCATTGGTGGCTTGCTTTATCATTGCTTTTCGTTAGCATTAGAGTATATAGGCATTTAACGTTGTCCTCTCCTTGCGGAACTGTTAAAGCTCGAAACCCGAAAAAACCTCGAAATCTTAACAGCAAGAAAATGAGGAACAATTGCTTCCGTTGTAAAGAATAGGATTGAGCATTCATGTCAAAATTTGCTTTTCTTACACTTCTGTCTTGTTGATCAGGCACTCGTTACAGCTTTTCACAAGAACATAATCTTTCCCCGTCATGTACTGGTATTTCCCATGAGAGGAAGCTTTGGGGCTAACGAGCAAGACCCTGCATTATCCATTTCGAGAGATCAAATGCGGTAGAATTTGGGTTGTCGTCACATCTAGTCTGGTGCACAGGTGGTTTTACTCAACCCCCGCGTCTCCTCCAAAGCCCACTATGTAGATCGTGCTTCTTTCGGCTATATTCCCCAGAGTTTGCCATGAATACTACAGAAGATCATCTAATAGCCATCAAATAACTCAAAATAAAGTTTCCCCGGAACTTGAAAATCACATGGCAGACCTCGGGCCATGAGGCTGCATAACATAGGGCCAATCCAATCTTCCCCCGCATACTTTCCACTGCATCTTGAACTTTGAACTCTGCCCCGGATTATGCATATACAATATGGGGTAACGTATGTATGAAGCTATACCCCACCAAAAGCACGTGTCAATGCCATAAATGCCGAAGTGACACCATTCTTCTAGCCTATGAACAGCCACCAACCCCACGGAGTAGACATTATGGGTTAGCTAGAGCTAGTGCCCACATGGCTCCGTATACTCCGTATCGAGTTCGTTGACTTTCAATATCCGGGGTAACACGCTACCTAGCTCGATCAACCCCTGCAACCGGGAGTTCTCGCGTGCAATGTATCAAGATCTGCTGATCCCCGGGACAAGAACAATCACAAGAAGAATTGACTCACTTCAAGAGAGAAAGGCTTATGGATTTACTGAAGTTGCAATGCGGGGCGAGCGGTGGATCAAGATGTCCAAATGAAAAACTGAATGATATTCCTCGGTTGTGATATCTAGGTCAATGTACATACCATACAACAAGACCATGTACAACGAGAAAGCCACATGTAATTCTAGTCTACTACAACATAGCTCGCTTCAACAACCCCCCCCCCCATCGCTTACCCCTGCTCAAAATATACGCAATTTAATAAACTTTCCTGAGGTCCCGACCCCCCGGACCATCTACTACAACATATACGGAGTACAGGGGAGTGTCTAATATGTAAAAGTAGTCTATAGTTGTAATACGGTGTACGGAATGTCGAAAAAATCCCCTTCAGCCGCTCAATATAAAAAAAACGCCCTTATGTAGGTACAACCTTCCAATAGAATAAAACAAATCTCACCTAATCACTCCCGGTGAGAGCCGCAGGAATTTCTTAAACAATCTAGAAAAGTTCTCCGAAAGTCTAACAGGGATATCTCACTGTACTTAGTTTAGTATAATAATTGCACTGCCCATTTTCACCGGTATGGAGTAGTATCTTAATAAACTGAAACATCCAAACAACCCCAACGAGGCAAAACCGCCGTTCCTGCATGAGGTGGGGCAAAGGGCACTAGTGTCGCCCCCGGTTTTGGGTTCGAAGTAGCGATTGGGGCTCGGATGCCGTGGTGGGAACGTTGGTTTTTCCGATGTTTGTGCGCAGGTATTGTCGTGTAACTTCTGTATCAGTTGGATTCATAACAGTTCTGGTAGAAATTATAACATCTATCACTACATTGATAGTCTGGTCTGATTACGGGCATACCGATGGACCTGAATTTGCCAGGTTGGGATTGAGACGCAATGTGCTAGGTCGAGATTACAATTAGATTGTGCAGAATAATGGGAATGGGCTAGACTCGAGTTTTATATGTTTGAGATAGTAAATGTGGAACCCATAAAGAATTATATTGTATAGCACGTATACATATACGTATACCAACATTCAAGTATATCATGAGCTCTGAAACACCATCATACATCATTGATACGGAGACATATCCTGTAACATCATGTCTTAAGAAAAGCTTGGAAGCTTGGAATATCCCTGTACTCTATCTCCCATCGGAGAATGAGAGTATAGCCCGGGATAAAAGAAAACCAGAAAATATTTTAGAATATTAAGGAAAAAAAAGAAAGAAAAAAAACATAAAACCGTATTTGTAACATTATACTCGTTCCTGCCCATACCCCGGCGCAAACGTAGACTGAGGATCCCACTCGCGTGCACTAGGCGGCCTAGGCCCGGAAAAACTCAACGAGGGACGCACATAGCGGGCCTCATGAGCGACCTGACTATTTCCGAACGTCGGACTGGGACTGGTGGTCGGACTACCGTATCGAGTCATCTGTGTAGGGCTCAGCGGGGGCATGAAAGCGCTATGTCCGCCCATTTGCGTCGGGCTAGGTGAGCGCATGAAAGCGCTGCGGTCAGGCCCGTCCATCCGTGTAGGGCTTGGCGAGCGCATGAACGTATCGGGTGATTTCACAGATGTAGTGAGCATTTCGAAGCCCTTGTTGTCGGCGAAGCGGGTGTGCGCATCTGCAGAGACGAACTCGTGGCGCTGAGTCACTTTGTTGCGGAATAGATCCAGCCAGCCGATAAACATCGATGGGCGGGCGAAGAGGATGAAGTTCCAGAAACCGACGAGGGAGAGCAGAATCACGACTGCTAGTAGAGTTGCTTCGTTGGGGCCGATGGCTGCGGCGTACTTGCGGCAGCCTTCCTTGTCGCCGGTTTCCGCGAGGCACATTAGCCAGGGGGTTGCGGTTTTGGTGTTATCTGCTGTTGGTGCGACGGCGTTATCGAGGTTGATGAAGACAACTGCGAAGAAGATTACATTGCCGAGAATGATTGATGTGAGGGCAATGCCGCGCCATTGGAGTTTAAGGACACGGCGTACACGCCGGTAGGCTTGTCGGGCTGTCACGGTGCCGACGCTGGCTGTGTAGGAAGGAAGGTTGGTGCCGGAACTGCCTGATGTTGAGGCGGATTTGTCGAAGAGGGAGCGCAGGTAGATGTGAACGCAGTATATCATTGTTGATACTTGTAAAAGGAGAGATGCGGAGGCGAAGACCATGACTGGGATCCAGTAGTCGTATAGTCCGTTGGTTACGTTGATATGGCAGATTTCGCCGAATCGGAATGAGACTCCAGTTAGGATCAGCATAACTGTCGTTCCGATTGCTGGGATCCCAAATCCACAGACGAAGGCCATCCACATGAACTTCGGCCCTATGACTTTTTCCCAGCATACTTGTAGGTGGAAGGCAATGGTGCGGATGAAACTCCACATGACCACTAGCCAGCCCCCGAACAACAGAAAGGATCCGGAGAAGGCACAGGAAAGATCGGAGCGCATGCCATTCGGGGTGATTGCATTATGGCATTGTTCTGGGTTGGCACCGAGGGGGATGATGAAGGCGAGCTAGATTAGAGTTAGCCATAAAAGTTCCCAGCGCACGCCAACATCCAAACTTTACCTCCATGCAACAAATGCCCACGGTGAAGCAAATACTCAAGTAATGACGGTGGGTCCATTTGACGGGTAGCACGGCGTATGAAATCAATAAGAAGATACAAAGAGGGAGAATGGCGACACTGATCCAACTCGTAACGGCAATTTTATCGGCCAATTCTATACGCAACACCACGTTAGATCTTGGAATGGGCGTATAGAGATAACTGGACTCACCAGTATCATATCTCCACTCGGCGAGAGGACATGGCAAACAACAGGAATAAGTGCTGTTGCCAAAGGCTATATCCTCGCAATAGCGGCCATCGATAAATCCCCCGTCGGTGGGGAAGAGCGTCTCCTGCAAGAAGGGAGACGGGCAATGTCCAGTTAGGGCGTGCACCATGATGGCGAGAAATGCATATCCTGCGCGAATTCCTAACGCGCCAGCGCGATATAAAGGAACAATATATGAAATCAAAAGAGAGAGGGGGATAGGGTTAGAGAAATGACGGGGGGCAAGTTATACATATACTTGTACGTCTTTTCGTACAGGAAAAGGCCCGTTCATCTGCCCCCACTGTGGACTTGGACTTACCCACGGTCCTCTAAAACTCAATTCGATCTTGGCAAAAAGTCGGTTAGCGGGGAATAAATTACATGTAACAATACACACATTGTACTACAACATACACAACATCTTTTGAATATGGCCGAGGGACGACCTCAGGGATGTCCAGTGTAAACTCACCATAAGCCAATAAACTTGGTAATGCTAAATATACCTTCAATGTTCTGTCTGAAGATCCCATTGGTTTGTAATATCTTAGTGTACTCCGTAGTGGTATAATATAATATTCTAGAACATAATTAATATAAGTTATCAGCCTCGGCCTTCCATACTTGGCCTTTCTAAGCGTGCATTCTCTCACTTTTAGTTCCACAATGAATACAATGCTAATGTTGTCATTCAATTTTAAATTGAGATTTAATATAGATCAATGCTAACATCTACTACATACATAGTTACATAGTACTCCGTACATGCTTATAAATTACTCCCGTACTCCGTGCACAACTGACAGGCACACCCCGAACTGAGTGTCCAGCCCCAAGCTGACGGCAGCTCTGCCAAGCTCTCGCCTCTTGCAACCTGATTCGATTGTTTGTTTTTTTTTACCCCTGGAGATCAAATTCTGTCTATCCAGTGGCAAGAGTGGTCAGTGTCACCTACAATAGTATTCCTTCCCGAGAGCCCACGCGTCAATCTACCCAATCATTACCACTAACCCGTCTCCCGCTGTGATCATCGCCGGTATTCGTCGCTCATAAGTCCAATCAGATAGCCAACAGAGTACATAGGACCAAGTACTCCGTAGTAACATATGATATATTTATGTGCTGCTAGGCGATCTATCATAGCGCAGTGGTTAACTGGAATGCGTCTACTCCAAGGTTCCCCGGAACCCTCATCCACCCTAATCCATTTCAATCAGGTCACGATCCTCGTGTTCTCATTTATGGATCGATCAGCTGACCCATATATCATATACATAGACTAACCATGTTCCTGATATGTACTCCATACTTACAAAGTATAAGCTCATCATACTGACATCCTCCAGTGATCATCGCACTTAGCGCTAGCCACGAGCCTCTCAACTCTTAAACCAGTCAAACACGAGCTCTTCTCATCTTAGTCTTTCGCTGTTTTTCTATGAAGATCAGCATTATCCACTTATGAGTCATATACTCCGTACAACAGCTCACACTAGCAAGGTCCGTGTCAAATGGCAGAACCCCACCAGTAGTTCTCCTCAGTGATCTGGATTCTACCCTTCGCTCCAATTACCAAGGCTGTTCCTATATATAATGTCTGCCTTGAGTGTAGATACTCCCTAGCTCAAAACCTAAAGCTATCAATCCGACTTGCTATTCTATTTTTCTCATCCGTATCAACTCTCCAGTTCGTAGTCAATCCTAACAGAATAGGACAGGAAAAGAAACTACAGGTCAGAACAGACGTACGCTACAGAAACAATCCTTATTGCCATAATATAAACAATCCAAGCAACTGCTGCCATCAAAACTCAAGAAAGAAATATCTATGCATGTGTCAACACTTCAGCCCCCTACTTGGTTCTATTCCCAAACCAAGTAAACCAACTCGACAGAAACGCTGAACACGTTGGCGATTATCCCTGTTGAATGACCAGGTGTGCGCTTACACTTAAGAGGTCATCGCGCCAAGACCAGAACACCTGCGGAGTAGAATCCTAAATAATATGTGTAGTGCACTCCCAGCTCATCGCAAACCCAAGCCCAAGCCCCTAGTCAAAGTAAGGTCGAAGCTCCAATCTCCAACCCAATCTCCAACTAAAAAACCGAATCTCAAACTTTCTCCCCCACCACTTAAATTCGAGATGCTATGCTCCTAGGTACCTCTAGGTAGGTATAAGCCCCTCCTTCCCCATTCTGCACCGCCAAACTTTCCATTCTCCATTCCCCATTCCAAAAACGATCAGAATCCTACCCGACATACAAAATATGCACGGGATAACCAGTACTAGTAACCCGAGATATTCTCGTTGGCGTAGATCCTGAATAATCTCGGATCTAGAGCGTGGGGTTCGGATAACTTGCCCCCCAGAAGGGTAAATCTGTGGGGGCAAGTGGATTCCGTGACAACATGCTCAACGGAAAACCTGCAGCGTTGGGGTTGGGGCTTGATTTTAGGACTGGAGTGGTGGGATGGTAAGTGTTAGTGTTAGAGATTAGGAAGAGGTTGATGATATTTGATGTGTTGGTAGTTTTTAGAGATTAGGTTGCTGATGTTTAGTGGGTGTTAGTGCTAGTTGTTATCTTCGAGCTAGTGTAGTTCTTTTTGTTCCCTTAAGAATAGTTGAAGCTAGCGAACAATCAAGGAGTAGCTTAGAAACGCTCGAATAAATAGTGGGATATTCAATCTAATATGGATGATGTACTCCGTACAACCTTGAAGAGTACTAGAGGCAACTAAACCGAAGCTGCAGAATCAAACAAGGAAAGGTTCACGACCCTAAATTTCCTAGTATTTTTGCTTTCTTTCTCTTTAGAATCCATTCGCCCACTTTATTGTTATAACATTATAACTACGTACATCGCACGTTGCACGGAGCACATACAATATACTATGTTGTATATGATTACTATAAGAGGTATCATCAACAATCATTACACTGATGTTCTCGCATTCGTCAGCATGTGAGAGGTCACACCCCGAATGAATGAGAATTCCCACTTGCTCGTCGCTTGACAAGCCATTTCTCAATATGGCATGGCGTGTTGGTGGTATGGTCCCAATTCGATACAAGCCGGCGCATTACTCTACAAATACGCCGTTTACCCAAATACCTCCAAATAATTCCACCAGGTCAAACAAATACAGGTCCCCAACCAAAAGGGGACCAGCTTCTATACAACGAGGGGTTGTGGTTACTGAGCCCGCACCAACCCCTCCACTTCGAACGCTCTCGTTCCTACGCTGAACCCCTTATCATGTGAAAACAAGACATCTTCACGCCTTAGGAACCAGACCCAGGCGACCGAGTCAAACCCTCATCCCACCCCCACTCCTTTAATAACTGCTGCACACGGTACTCAGTCGCCCAGCCTAGATCCGACTCGATACTCCTTAGCAGGCGCACAGTAGTGCGGCGCTCGCGTGGATCCGTCAGACACTGCCCGCTAACAAAGAGCGGCTGCAGCGAGTTGATCCTGACGCTGCCATCTGGGCGGGAGAGACCGATACCCACGATCTCGCGGCTGTGGAATGCGATCTCGGACTCGATGGAGCGATACGACTGGAGACGGAGTGTAATAGTACTCCGACGGCTAGTGGACTCGTGTGGCTTGTTGATGAGTAACAGGATGCGCGCCATGTGGTAGTGCTGCATGGCGGAGGCGCACATGGGCAGACTGTACCAAATTTCCTGGAGAGTGGACATGTCTTCATTTTCGTTGGGCGTGCGGTGGTGTGAGAGTTTGTGCGCGTCCAGTCGTGCGCAGGGCCGGAATGTCTCTGGGATCCCAGTGTACCATGCGTCGAGCTCGGATTCGAGCCTGTACCACCGCTCTAGGAGGACTTGTTGCGAGACGCCTAGGGGTCCTGGCACCGCTCTGTGGTCGGTTATGTGCACGTTGTCGCCGGAACTGATGAAATTGACTATCTTGGACATTATCCAGACTAGTCCATTGCTGATTAGGTCTTCTTTCATTACGTCTTCGCCTTCCGGGTATCCTGCTGCGCCTGTGTTGCTGGCACGGAGAAAGCCCGCGTTGTCAATGAGTAGACCTGCTTCGGTCCAGAGGACTGTGTCGTCTGTGTTGAGCCTTGTATGGCTTTCATTGATGACTTTCTTTCTATTAGCGGGGCTTGCGGGAACTATTCGTTGAGAGAAAACACTCACAGGCAGCTAGGTAGTCCTGCCGCGCGAAATTCCAAAACGTCGCCTTCCGAGCCTTGGAAAGGCCTGACTTTTTAGGCGTCGGCGTCTGATATGAGTTTTCTCCCGGAGACGCACGCTGCTCAAGAGGCATCATACCCACCTCAGCGACATCAAGCAACGATTTCACGCCACTCAAATGACGATTCCACGCGGGGCCTGCAGCATCGAGGAACTCATATACAGATAGAATGGCCGTCGCCGCGAGCACTTCATCGGAATGAACTCCATGCGAAAGCCGACTATCAGAAGCCCGTCTGCGGCGCTTACGTGGGTTATCCGTATCTACAGAGAGCTCGGAAGCCTGCCATTGACCGAAAGCCTCCGGGGTGCTCAATGGAGGTGGACCCTCTGCGTCAGGTTGCAGCTCCTTCATTAACAGCTGGATGGCCTTTTCATAATATTTGGCCCCGTACCATGCGAAGTCGGGGTCTTTGTCAGGCCACAGTTCCATAGCAGCTTGCTGGGTGCAGACTCCGCCTACCGATGCCTTGGCACCTTTGACTCGGCCCAGTTGTTTGGCGGAATATGCGCAGGCGGCGAATTTCAAGAGCGGGTTGGTTCTTGCCCGCACTGGGACATATGAAGCGAAATATGTCCCTTGGTCAAAGAGATCCATCCTGCAGATTCCATCGTTACTCATGGTTCCATGCCAGCAGATGAGAGAAACAAACCACAGTCCCGGTCCTTCTGAGTAATGTCGCAAAAAAAAAGCGGCCTCGAAATCGGTCTCTGAATTATCGCTTGGTATGTGATTCATGAGGTTCATGTGGCTCATGTGGCTCAAGGTCCTCTGTGAAACTGCTGGTCTTGATGGAAGCGCAGTGTTTCGGTCAGATAGCTGAATACTTGGGTCGATGGAGGGAGACATCGAATGCGAGGGGTTGAGGAGGAAATTAATATTGGTATTGTTGCTGGTGGA